GTATGTGTGTGTGTCTCTATGTGCTTATGTATGTGTGTATGTGTGTATGTGTCTGTGTGTGCAGTCGTCAAACTGTCCTTGGATCTCCCTCAGCCTCTTCTTGAGGGGCTGCTGACCTGGAACAGCACCCATACGGATTTTGAAAGACCTTCATCCCTGTCTTTTCATAACCTTTTGAATTTCTCCTCAAAGCTAACTGACGGCTAGGTGGCCAGTCTTGGTTTGCTTGGAGTTACGGTAGTTTCAGCACTGAACGTCCCATGTCTTAGAAACCTCTTAATTTGGGGTAGGCCACGTGCCTTGATCATTGCACCTGCCTTGGCCAGGACGTCCACCCATGGCTGTCTGCTCTTCACTCACCGTTTGTATATCCAGGGAGTTTGGGTCCACTTTCCATCCTCCGATAGTCTCCACTACCCACAACTTTTCTCCCACTGAGTCACTTCTATCTCGTGATTCAAAACTGGGTTCAAAAGTCTCTTCCGTCTGAAAGCCTCAAGTTCTCCCATGTCACTGATTTTTCCTTTACCTCTCTTTGATTACAAAATTACAAGCTCCACCTGTAATAAAGGGGTGCACATTTATACCTTTATGCCCCTAAAAGTATTTTTTTCAAAAGATTGGGGGTTCTCCAGAGACTGGTAACATGTCTTTTCTTAACCTCACTTAGGAGTACCATCTTTTATAATTGTAAAATTTTAAAATTGTATACTTTTATAATTGTAGACTTTTTATTTTTTTTTATTTTATTTATTTTTTTTTTTGACAGGCAGAGTGGACAGTGAGAGAGAGAGACAGAGAGAAAGGTCTTCCTTTGCCGTTGGTTCACCCTCCAATGGCCGCCGCGGTCAGCGCGCTGCGGCCGGCGCACCGCGCTGATCCGATGGCAGGAGCCAGGAGCCAGGTGCTTTTCCTGGTCTCCCGTGGGGTGCAGGGCCCAAGCACCTGGGCCATCCTCCACTGCACTCCCTGGCCACAGCAGAGGGCTGGCCTGGAAGAGGGGCAACCGGGACAGAATCCGGCGCCCCGACCGGGACTAGAACCCGGTGTGCCGGCGCCGCAGGCGGAGGATTAGCCTAGTGAGCCGCGGCGCCAGCATAATTGTAGACTTTTTATAATATGCCTAAGTACAAGGCCAGTTGACTTTTTCTCTTTGTTAAGCTTCAGGCTGTTCTGCACATTGATATGAAATGTCCAAAATGAAAGTCTTGACTCATTGCCCTCCTGGTTGAAGCATGAATGAATCCTTTCATTCAAAGAGTGTTCAAGGACAACTGAAGTCTGTGACAGGTTACCTTAATAACTGTGTCTCCCGTAACACCTCTCTCTCACTCTCCCTCTCTATCCATCTATCTTCCTATCTGTATTAGTCTCATTCAAAGATACCCATATATTTTATTGCATTTGAGCTTTTGTACTTAATATTCTTTCCAAATTTGTTCGTGCAGTGCATTTTTAATAATCCAAATTAAACCCAGATTTCACCTGATGGCATCTTCCCTAATTCTTCCAGTAGAGGGGGTGCCGCCACTTCTACCTCTTGTCATGCTTCGTGTAATTTTTTTTTTTTTGCTCCTTAGATTTTCTCTTTCCCTTAATGTTGAATATTTCAATTGTAGTTATTTTATACACTGTCTGAAAATTCTCTTATCTGAATTCCTTAGAGAATCTAAACCTATTGGTAGTTATTTTTACTGATCTTTTTGTGCTGACTTATTATCTTGTGCATCCATGATGTTTTGTTTTTCAAACATATTTATCCTAAGGACCCAAGTGTGCGTATCATTCCTACAGAGATGATTTGACTCCTGTTTGGTTACAAGCCAGGACTGCCGTCAACTTGGTATCATGTTAGCTTTCTTCAAGGATCCTGGCTTCATGTAGGGTTAAGAGGTTCGGCTCCTCAGGCTTGAAATACCAGGCTTAGTAACTCAATTTTGGTTTTGTTATAGTCATTTGTCCCATGGAAGTCCAGGTTTTGCTTACTGAACACCATTGTTGTTTTACCTGTTTGGTTTTCTAGTGGTGCTGGTCTCTTGGCTCTATCCTCCCCCGCCTTTTTTTTTGCAAGCTCAACAATATTTTGACAGGAGTATGTGTTGTAATTGATCTAGGATCCAGTGGTATTTTGCTGAGTGGACCCTCCTGCATATCCAGTCCCTGACACTATGCAACAATCATTCTGGACACTTTTTTAAATATTTATTTTATTTGCTTGAAAGGCAGAGAGAAAGAAGGAGAGAAAGGGGGAGATATCATTCTTCCGTTGGTTCACTCCCCAAATGGCCTTAATGGTTAGGGATGGGCCAGGCTGAAGCCACGCCCCTACCTGGGCAGAAGGGACCCAAGCACTTGGGCCATCTTTTGTGGTCTTCCCAGGCACATTAACAAGGAGCTGATTCAGAAGTGCAGCAGCTGGGACTTGAACTGCTGCTCTGATATGGGATCCAGCATCACAGGCGGTGGCTTCACCTGCTGTGCCATAATGCTGGCCCCACTGTAGGCTTCTATGGAATAATTACTTTTGTTCCTTTTCATTTTCTGTCTTGATTAGTTGGTGAATGGGGGTACTCTCATAATATTAAAGGTCATTAAGGTCAGGAGGAATCTATCTATCTATCTATCTATCTATCTATCCATCTATCTATCTTTGTATCTTTTGTACTTCCTAGCAATGACAACCACTGAATACATGCCTGTTAAAAGAAAGCAGACGATTTTGTTGTTAGCGGAACCTGACTTGCCCAGTGAAAGGCTGAACTGGAAGTAATACACTAGGGACCGAGGAGGAGCTGGGAATTGGGGGTCGGTATAGAGGAGAAATGTAATGGAGATTCCTTTCTCTCCCTCTCTATTTCTCTGATGTCCTGTTTCATCATTTTTTACCATGTGGTTTGTGGTCTTTATTCTAAGTTATAAAGTAGATACCTAGGATCTTTCTTTCCAAATAAATTAATAATAAAAAACCAAATAAGGAAAGTTGACCGTGTAGAGACGGACTTTCTTGTATGTGATTGCTTCCCGAATAAAAACGATTCTTAGGCAGGGGAGTGAATGTCTGTCACGGCAGAGGGCACTTCCGCAGTTCATCTCCGGAGGGATCCGAGCCAGTGATCAGCTAGGATGCCTCACTGTCCTAATCGTCTGGAGTCTAAACAACAGTGGCGGCAGCAGCTTCAGTTGTAATGGCAGCGATTCTGGTGCTTCAACTTTTGCCTCCTACGTAGAGTTTGTTGCTAATGTTTGGGATATTTCTATCTCCTGTGGCATTACTGACAGCAGAGAAAGACGTGCCTGCTGATCTTGCCTTTGTGCCAAAATAAGAGCCGTCTGTTGCTGGTAGCTGGGACCCTTTGAAACTCAAAGGAGACATCTGCAGTTCATTTGAAAAATTCTTTGAGGCCTCAGTCTTTGCCTCTTACAAAATATTGTTTCCCACAGTCGGCAGAACCCTCTTGGTCTTATCATCGCCCTGGATGAGAACAAAGAAGCGAAAGGTGAACTCTTCTGGGATGATGGAGACACCAGAGGTGAGCATGTCATGATAAAACCTCTGTTTCCAAGCCTGCGTCTTTGCCTTATGGGCCTTTGCTGCTACAGGCCCTCAGCCGTGGAGAAGTCACAGCAGGCACAATAGCAGAGGGCACTTGAGAGAAGAATTTTATCTCAGATTGCACAATTCAGGGGCAGTGGTGAACCATAAACAGGAGGAAAACTTTTTTTGTGTTCTTGCTGCCGTTCTCTCCATTGGCCAGTCACACACACACACACACACACATACACAGTAACACACACACACATATACACACATGGATTCTCATTTTATTGTCACTGGGCGCCTGGAAGATATATTTTTAAAATTATTCCTGTAATTCAGTGTATAGCTATCTTTTCTCCAAAAATAACTATGGATAATTGTTGCTGCTATGAAACACATACTATTCTAGTTTGTATATTTCTAAAAATATGTTTTAGTAAATGCTTTCTGACTCTGGTCTCCTAACAATTTTTTTTAGTGCTCTAGCTTAGAAAATAGCTTGAGGTACATGGCTTCAGAGCACTTGATGGGGAATCGTTTCCAGGTTGCAGTAGAATGGAGACACAAAAGCAGTGGCTTGGTCTTGAGGATTCTGTCCATAATCTTGTTATTCTCAAGATGTTGTTTGAAAAAAACCTTCAACTGGTTTTAATTAAATGAAAAATATTTACTTAGCAAATAAAGATTGGATATGTTCCCTATATACAATGTGTGTTTTGATACATGTAAACAAATATAACAGTTATCAAAATCAAATTGATATGCCCCTTATGCACAGGAGATCCTTATAATTTGGTCATCTTACAACTGAAAGTCTGTGTGCGTTGACCATCATCTCCCCACTTCCTCTACCCCTAGTCACTGCAACCACAACCCCTGTACTCCCATGAGTTCAATTTTTTTTAACCCCACATATAAATGAGATTATGTTGTATTTGTCTTTCTGTGTTTGGCTTATTTTCTTAGAATAATACTCAGATTCAACACTGTTATTGAAAATAACATCCCTTCTTTTTATGGCTGAATAATATCTTACACATATCACAATTTCTTTATCCAATGACCTGTTGACAGACACATTGCTTCTGTATCTTCGTTATTATAAAAAGGAATTAAAAACTTAAGTGTAAGTGACAAAATGGTAAAACTCTTAGAAGAAACTAAGGGAAAAGCTCCTTGTCATAGGTCTTGGCAATGATTTTTATTTTATTATTTTCTAAAATAGTTATTTATTTGAAAGAGTGATGGGGGTGGGGGAAGACTAAGATCTTTCAACCACTGATTTCATACCCAAATGGCTGCAACAGCCAGGTCTGTGCCAGGACAAAGCCAGGAGTCAGGAACTTGATCCTGGTCTCCCATGTGGGCAGCATGGACCCAGCACTATGGGTGGTTCCCCATTGCTTCACAGACACTTTAGCAGGAAGCTGGAGCAGAAGCACAGTAGCTGGGATTCAAGCCAGCACTCTGATGTGCGAGGTGAGGGTGGCCAACAATGTGGTGACCTGCAGGGCCAAGAGCCAGCCACAGCAGTGATTTTTCAGATGTGACTCCCAAACAGGCAGTGAAAGCAGAAATAAACAAGCAATGCCACATAAGACAGAGAAGGTGCTGCACATCAGAAGATCAGATCAACAGTGTGAAAAACCAAACTACAGAGTGGGAGAAAGTATGTGAGAAGGGATTGATATAAAAATTATAAAAGAAAGAACTTACACAACTCAGTGGCAGAAACCCCCCAAATAACCCAATAAAAATGGGCAAATCACCCACAGAAATGTTTTCCCAAAGAAGACCATCCCATGGCCAACTGATCCATAAAGATATATTCAGTGTAAACAAGTAACAACGCACAAGGAGATGTCACCTAACACATATTGGGATGGCTATTATGAAAAAAGACAAGAGATAATGAGTGTTGGCAAGGTTGTGTAGAGTAGGAAACACTTGCACCCCCTTGATGGGAACGTAAATTGGCTCAGTCATTGTGGAAAACAGAATGGAGGTTTCTTAAGAAATCAAAAATAGGTCTACCACATCCAGTCAACAATCGTTCTTCTTGGCATGTACCCAAAGGGAATGAAATCAATGTCTTGAAGATGCACCTGCACCTCCATGTTCATTGTAGCATTGTTCACTATCTAAGATACAAAAATAACATCCACCCACGGATGGATACAATTCATTCATAAAAACAAATAAATGCTGCCAGTTGTGACATGAGATGCAGCTTGATGGTGAGGCAGGCGGAAATTTGTTTCTGTGATGGACAGGCCAGACTGATTTGTCTTTCTCTCCCTTTCAGATACTGTGGCCAACAATGTTTATCTTTTATGTGAGTTTTCTGTCACCCAAGTGAGTAGCCAATTTTTATGAATCCTAAGTATTGTTTTTTTTCTGTTAGTACATACATGCTTATGTAGGCATACAATTATACTTAAAAATTCACATGAACTTAGATAATTGAGGACATTTCCATTTATGATTTAGCTCCCCAAAATTGAATCATCCATGTTGTCCAAAGGAGGCAATAGGAGTGCAAAAATCAAAGCAGCCAGCATTTCCTATGAGAAGTTTTTCTAAAAAAAAGTTTTTTTAAAATCAATAGTCAGATTTATTTCTAATTACTAGTAGTAAATTAAAAGAATATGATGATAAATATAATCGATTATAGTATTTTTTTAAACTTTTATTTAGTAAAAGATATGTATTTTTGATTTTTTTTATTCTGAGGTTATTAAAATGAGTTCTGCTCCTTAATCACACGTCAGTAGAGAAAGAGAGGAGATGCCAAGAGCAGTGGGGAGTGTGGAACACTGGAGTGACTTGAGAATCTGTGTGTGACAGCAAACGTTTGTGCTTAAATGTCCTTGATTGTTCTGCAGAACCGCTTGGATGTGAAGATCTCACAATCAACCTACAAGGACCCCAATAATTTAGCATTTAAAGAGATTAAAATCTTTGGGACACAGAGACCTAACAATGTTACAGTGACACACAATGGTGTTCTAAGTCAGATGTCTCCTAAAGTCACTTACGATTATAACCTGAAGGTAAAAATCCATCTTGTTGATGTGGTTTTTCAAAAATAATTTGTAATAGGGGAGGGTGGATGGAAGGAAGGGAGTATCGTTATGTTCTTAGAATTGTATCTACAAATCACATGGAATCTGTTAAAAACTAATTAAAAATCAAAGTAGAAATATTATTTGTAGCATCATGGCGTTCCTGTTTGCCAAAGCTGCATGTGTTTCTGAAGGAGCAGTGCGTATGCTGAGGCCTGGGGGAGCAAGATGAGAGGTCTGGGAAGAAGACGGACAAGGCAGTGGCCAGACGGGCACCTGCCGAGGAATGGGGCTTTCAGTTCCAGCCCCACCCTTGCCCCACAGTGTGCTGCTGTCTCTGACTTCAAAGAACCAGAAACGGATACAGAAGGGCAGGGTTAGGAGTGTGGGGGACAGGAGTAGAGGGAAAGTGGGCCTGAACTCTGCTGGCCGATGCTGGAGACATAACGGGTGGAGGTAGGAATGCCATGAATTAGAATTCTGAAATGCCTGTTTTAGAAACTGTACTGAGATATGAGACATATGACTCTCACTGCAATACGTACATTTTTAAGAAATGATTTAAGAAAAGGAATTTGCTAATCCTGTCACATGGATAATTATTTCGTTAGATGATGGTAATAAAGTACTTTTTCACTGGGTATCATGAGACTTGAACTGCTTGCAGTCAGAAATCATTAGGAGGAAACTTTCCCCAGATAATACAGGTACTCTAGGAACCCAGTATCAGGAGTCCTGGGTCCACATGGTTTATGAGTAAGCTTCTAAATTTGAGGAAAATAAGTCAGTTGTATCTTATTATCATGACATATGGATGACATTTGACATTTTATCCTGATAACACATATCAAGGATACCTACAGTGTGAAGTCACAAACCCAGAAGTATATGGCTGGTTATGTGTATGGCAAAATACGAGATATTTAGAAGATGTATAAGGGAAGGCAAATGCAATAGGTGTCCATCAAATAAGTCAATTTGTATACACTGAAGATGACCACTGTTGTTATTGGAAAGTAGGCAGTGAGGAGACAGTTTATGCGTGAAAGCACAGTAAAGGAGGCAGGGACTCAAATCCACGTATAGGAAGTGGTGACTTGTGCTTAACTGTGCAACCAAAGCCGAGGAGAACCTTAAACTCTAACTGCTAAGTGAAGCGAACTGTGCTTTGCTTTTCCTTTCTGTAATGACAGCTTTAGGAGGTAGGAAGTTGCTGACATTGACCCTGTGGCTCAGTGTTGTCAGGGTTGAGGGCTTTTTTTTCCCTCTTGGGATTTGAAGTGGCCGCTTGGTTCCTGTCACTGTACCACTGTCACACCATTAATCAATAAGAAAACCATTGGCCAACAGTGCTCAGGGGGCTTGAACTTACCTCTTAATGATTACAGCCACTTAGCTTCGACAGAAAAAATGAGATCCTGATTGGCACTTGAGATTTGTAAAGTGAAATAGTGAGCAAGGAAAGAACATATTATATGGGGCAGGCAATCAACAATGTTTTCTACAAATGAGCGAATTTTCCCAGAAGGGGTATTAATACTGGGAAGATTTCTGGGATATCAAGATAACTAAATCCAAGGACTGAGAGGGGCCTTATATCGTTATTGTGTGAGTTTTGTGTAACCTGCATAGCTAGTATTCACCTTTGTAAGGAGCTCAATTTGAACAAGAAACTTGCGGTCAGATTCTGGAGACCCTGAGGCCCCCAGAGGAACTCATACCCCATTTCTTCTCAGAGGGTCCCCTTTCGATGCGCGAATCGAGGCTGTGCCATTGTCGGACATCGGCTGTTGAGATCAGAGATAAGTGGGAAAGAGAAGTGCAAGATGATTCAGATTGGGAGGCTGAGAAGGATGATAAACCTCAGAAAGCTCAAGAAATTGAGGACTTCAGCTGTGAAAAGTGCTATTTACTGGGGAGAAAACTATAAGAAAGACAGACTATTATATTAGAAGAATAGTAAGTATTTGAACCAGTGCGTGGGTTCTGAGTCCAGTTTCCAGTTCTGAGCTTCTAGGCTTGGAGAAATAAGAGGCTGGACGTTGGAAATGGAAAGAAAGGTAAAGACTTTGCCATTTCATCAATTTGACAGTTGGCTAAACTGAGACCCAAAGAATGGAAACAATGTCACAGAAGATAGGGGAGGAGAACCCAGGTCATGTGATTCTCATGGCTGCGCACTGGTTTGAGGAGAAGGGAGTAGGACTCAGCTCAACTTGGCCTGCAGGAGAGAGAATTTCTGACTACATCACGAGGGGAAAGAGGAGTCAGGGTAGGAAAGAAAAGGGCTGTTCATTCCAGGTTTCGTTTGACCTAACTCTCCCACACTGTGATGTACAAGGTTCTGACAGAGAGGGAGATGTGTGCACCTGCGTCCTTCAATCCAGCGTGTCTACAGCTCTCCACATCAGTCACAATCTTGTGTTCCTTGTAAGGCAGAGAATCTGGCCTGATGTCTACTTCACGTTTTAGTAAGATGTTTGTTCTGTGGATGACTGTCCTTGCGCCTTTCCATTCCCACAGGTTGCTGTTATCACAGAAATTGAGCTTGTCCTGGGAGAAGCGTACACGGTGGAGTGGACCTTGACGACGAGGGATGAGGAAAAGATCGACTGCTATCCTGATGAGCAGGGAGTTTCTGCAGACAACTGCATTGCCCGTGGCTGTGTCTGGGAGGTAACCAGGCGGGTGGTGCTATCACGCCTTAAAACCTCTCCACGTTGTACCTATAAGAAGATAGCCCCAGTTCCTATGTAACTACTTAAAAATCCTCAGAAAGCTCTTCCAAGGAGACCCGGTTTGGATGTGAAGAGTAAGTGGCAACATGGGGAGACATGCATTTAATAAACCTTGGAGACCGAGGTGTAAGTTTATGCCTTTGAAAAGGATGTGTGCATGAGTGAGTGATGGGACGGCCCTCTCTCCCTATGCATCGCCTCTCCTGACCCTTTCTCTTGGATAGTTCTAAGACCACACGCTGATCCAACACTGGCCTTTTCTTTCAGGAATCCGCTTCTCCTGGGGTCCCTTTCTGCTACTTCGTCAATGATCTATACTCGGTCAGCAATGTTCAGTATCACTCAGATGGAGCCACTGCCGACATCTCCCTAAAGTCCTCTGTTGAAGCCAACGCCTTCCCTTCCACACCCGTGAACCCCCTGCGCCTGCAAGTGACCTACCACAAGAATGAAATGCTGCAGTTTAAGGTAAGCCCAGCGTCTGCATCAGGTATTGTTTTCAGTTCTATTACTCTTTGGTATGCAAGGTTACAGAACCTTACAAAAAGTTTACTTTTCTCAGTTAAGGCATGTGACGACAGACTAGATCCTCATCCTGATCCTAAGAGCAATGCAAAGCCATTCTTGGAACAGCAAAGTTTGCATTTTTAAAAAGATTTATTTGTCTACTTGAGAGGCTTTCCCAGGTCATTGGTAGGGAGCTGGATTGGAAGTGGAGCAGCCAGGACTACGCCCGTATGGGATGCTTTTGTCACAGGCGGAGCCTTAACCTACTCTACCACAGAGCTGGCACCCCTAATTTGCATTTTGAAGGGTGAACAAGGAAAATGAATGGGTGAACAAGGGTGGGTGTGGAGAGAAAAGGTCCAGTGAGGATGCAGCCTGGACCAGGTGCAGGACAGGAATGGCGAACAGTGGACACATTTGTTGTTGGCAAGGCGGGATTGTAGGTAGTGACGAGGCATAGTGAAGCAAGAACAACCACCATGCCGTGTTTCTAACCTCATCTGTACATTGATGACAGTGACAGTGACTGAAATGGGGAGTCGTAAAATGATCTTATGAGTCCAGTTTTGGGCACTGAATTTGAGGTGTCTGTTAAATAGTCACCAAAGGATTTCTTTTTCCTTCCATTGTTTAATTACATCCAAGGATTAAGGAGGAACCAATTGTTCTTACATCTATCTCTCTATTAAATTGTAAGGTTCACAAGGACAGGGAATTGTCCCTTTGTATTTGTGCTTCTGAAATCTAACACAGAGCCTGTCGGCTGCGTGCACTCAAGTGTTTGTTACGAGAGCCAGAGAAGGAGGTCAGGCCAGCGTGGCACTGGCTGAGCGGTTCTGCACAGCCTGGGTTAGCCTGGACCCTTCTGTGCTGGGATGATGCTGTGTTACGTTAGTGTCTTTGTGGTGGACTGGGCGTGTGGTAGGAGCCCAGTGGGTTTGAAACGAATGCACGTGCCTGAGTGTGTGGCCTTCTCTCCTGTCTGTTGCAGTCCTGACCATGCAGGTGCTCTCCTCAATGTACGTTTGCATATGTCAGAGACGACTTTCATACTCTGTACCTTTGTGTGTGCTATTTCTTTACCAGAAAACTTGCTCTCATTTCTGTGCCTGGTTAAAGGCTACAAAGCTTTTAAGACTTACGCTGTAATTCTCCTATAGTGCCAAGCCATTCTCATAGAGATATGTTGGACATTCCTTTTCTTGTAATATCAAAGCATGTTTTCGTGATTCTACATTCGCACACATCATCAGGCATTGTAGATCCCTCTCTTTCACTTCCCAATAGCAGGTGGATTCTCTAAGGTATTAGCCCACCTTATTAAGACCCAATGCTCAGGACAGTGTCATGCAGAGAGAAATAGATAGTCAGTGAGTCAAATTTAAATACCATTTTTAGCAGTGGCATTTATGATTATTTTAGTAAAAATGTTTGTAGTTGTTGGAGGAATATGTTTCAGTCCTAAAAAGATTTCAAATATTCACATATACTCATATGCCCACATATAAATATCAATTAATAAATTCATAGAAGCTATCCATATTTCAGATTATTTTCCAAATCAGCACTGATGTCCAAGTGAGTATTACTGGAAAAATGCATCAAGAATGAGATATGACAGACACAGTTCGAAATATAGAACCTGACATTGTTGTCTGATATGTTAATTTAATCCCATCTTAAGACAAAAATATAAATATTTTATATTTATATAAAACCAGCTTTTATCAAAACCTCAATGTTCTCCTATGGGTATAGATTTAAAGCAAACTACCCTTGCTTAAAACACTTTTTATTGACATAATAATTATATATTTTGATGGGGTGCTGTAATGTTTTGGAACACTTACATTATGTGTATTGATGAAGTCATGATTCCTGAGTTAGCTGTCATCTCAGACATGTATCATTTCTTGGTGATGAGAGCATTCAAAATTCTCTCTTCTGTCTTTTATGAATTGCACACAAAAAATTCTCAACTATAATCACCCTGTGTGTGATGGCACACCAAACCTTATTCCCCCACCTGCACCCTTGTCTAACACCTGTTCCCTCTGGCCTAGATCTATGACCCCAACAACAGTCGGTATGAGGTCCCAGTCCCTCTGAACTTACCCGGGGTTCCAGCCAGCAGCCCTGAGAGTCGGCTCTACGAGGTCTCCATTGGGGAGAACCCATTCGGGGTGGTGATTCGCCGCAAGAGCACAGGCGCTGTCATGTAAGTGCTGTCCTGGGAAAGCCAGCTGCTCGGGGCCCCGAGGGAGGTCCGTGTCTGCTCCCAACCCCTGTCTGTGTTGCAGCTGGGACTCTCAGCTGCTCGGCTTCCTGTTCAACGACCTGTTCATCCGCATCTCCACCCGCCTGCCCTCCGCGTACCTGTACGGCTTTGGGGAGACGGAGCACACGGCCTTCAGGAGAGACCTGAACTGGCACACGTGGGGCATGTTCTCCCGAGACCAGCCCCCGGGGGTAAGGACGGAGCGCTGGGTTCTGTGTCTGCCCCTCTCCCAGCGCTGGGTGTGCACGCGCTGTGCTGTGCCCTGCCAGACTCCACCTGCTGGGTCCCCCCTTCTGCTTCTCCACCAGGGGTGTAGTTCCCAGGCTCTCTGGTCACCTGTGTTTAATCAGTCACAAGGGAGACTGGGCCCATGGGAATTTGCTGGGTTTCTTTCTCAACTACAACGTCTCTTAACTCGTGCCGCCTCTCTGTCCTGGTTCTTAGTACAAGATGAATTCCTATGGTGTGCACCCCTACTACATGGGCCTGGAGGAGGATGGCAGTGCCCACGGAGTGCTCCTGCTGAACAGCAATGCCATGGGTAAGCCTGTGCCATGGCTCCCTCATTTCTGTGCACTGTTAATTCTACATAACTTTAGAATATATTTCAACTCAATACACCCTGTTCAAAATTATCTTCTTTTAGGCAGTGATGTGCTTAATCTGTTTATAATTTCTACTTCTACTTCTTTTAGTTCAGTAACAAGTAATAAGGCCTCATCTAACTCTTACTTTAGCAAAAACTATGTAACCAAGGTTAGAAAACTTGAGTTTCAAATATTGTGGAAGTCAGGTAATGTGAATTAGCAGTGAAGCTGAGAGTCAGATCACTTGTTGGTGGGCAAAAAAATGTGCAAAAATGTTTATGGTATAGAGGAAACGGAACATCAGGGGATGGAAAAAAGATAAATATAAGTACTAGTGTCAGTTAGTTAGGTCCGTGCTGGAATTACTGGTATTTCATCAAGGGCAGTTTCCTGGGTTTGAACATAGCAGTTGTCATGTAAGAGGTTATCATTGGAGGAAGCCGATGAGGCGTACACAGGGACTCTGAATACTATTTTTTCAACTTCTTGTGAGTATCAGATTATTCTTAAATAAAAGCTATAATAATTTTAAGATAGAAGAATGACTATATAAAAAAGTTAATAGTACACACCCAGGAGTGCAAATCCATGGATCTGACCCTGTGGACTTCCACGTAACTGCTTCACTTCTCTGTGGGAACAGCTCTTAGTTCTCTCCAGCGTGGAGAGCAGAGGCGGAGGGAGAAGATGTGGATTTCTGGGACGATTGCTCACCTTGAAGGATTCCAGCATGATTGGCATTTTCTGTGTTGCAGATGTGACGTTCCAGCCCACGCCCGCCCTGACTTACCGGACCACAGGGGGAGTTCTGGACTTCTATGTGTTCTTGGGGCCAACACCAGAGCTTGTCACTCAGCAGTACACGGAGGTAGGAGGAACATTTTAAATTTATCTTTAAATTCCATTCCATATCCTTTTGGAGATTTCTTCGTAGTAATTCTCAGCCTCAGAAAACCACTATGACCAGACATTATAATTAGCTCCAATTTGCAGGTAAGAAATCAATGTGCAGAGAAATTACTTACCTTTCGCACAAGCCGCTCAGCCAGCAAGGTCTGGAGTCTGCATACTAGGCCAGGCATTTTGCTTCTGGAGTCAGGAAGTTAGCTAGCCCATCTGCAGGAATCAGAGAAAAACCAGATTTTCCATAATTCCTGCAGAAGGGGCTCGTGTGTAGCAGGGAGTGCTCTCTCCCAGGTGTCTCTGTCTCTGCATTTCCTCAGTTTCTCTTTCGATTTCAGTGTGTTGATTGTGTAGCTTGGAGCACTGCAGAAATACTTACTCCTTCATACAGAACTTTAATCCAGCTTCCATTTCTTGAGGACTAATACTTGGTGTCTACTTCCCAGGTGATTGGCCGTCCTGTGATGGTGCCTTACTGGTCCCTGGGCTTCCAGCTGTGTCGCTATGGCTATGAGAATGACACGGAGATTGCCAACCTGTATGATGACATGGTGGCGGCCCAGATCCCCTATGTAAGTTCTCAGTGCTGGGGCCTGGTTCTGGGACCTCACCGCTCACCCAGGGGTCTCTGTATCTGGATTCCTCTGTGAGAGTTTGATGTGGTCTTACAAAGATACAACAGCTTTCTCATCCAATGTCGTACTCTGCTGCAGCACCTCAGGCTCTACACAATGCAGGTATAGAGGTGGGGTTCTAGGAATCCCGGTGATTCCCGAAGCAGGGGGAGACAGGGATGGCTCCACACTCTTTCTGCCGTCCTCTGCCTCCTTCCATCTTTTTCACAACTTAAAAACATGCAGTAGAAAAGTCCTTGTGCCGGCACTGCGGCTCACTAGGCTAATCCTCTGCCTTGCAGTGCTGGCGTACCGGGTTCTAGTCCCGCTTGGGGTGCCGGATTCTGTCCGGTTGCCCCTCTTCCAGACCAGCTCTCTGCTGTGGCCAGGGAGTGCAGTGGAGGATGGCCCAAGTACTTGGGCCCTGCACCCCATGGGAGACCAGGAGAAGCACCTGGCTCCTGCCATCGGATCAGCGGGGTACGCTGGCCGTAGCGCGCCGGCCACAGCAGCCATTGGAGCGTGAACCAACGGCAAAGGAAGACCTTTCTCTCTGTCTCTCTCACTGTCCACTCTGCCTGTCAAAAAATAAAAAAAAAAAAAAGAAAAGTCCTAGATTCCATACAAATGAGCGATCCTGTGAACAGCAGTTTTGCTTAATTAGAATAATGGACTCAGTTTGAGTCACAGCCCTGCGTGCTTCTCTGTAGCTGCAGGTATGTCCTCAGTTCCCGTCCTCGGGCGCACAGGGCTGTGCAGGGCCCCTTCAGCTCAGAGCTAACCGCCTGTCAAGTGTAGGGATTCTGTGTCTGGTGTCCAGGTGAAACAGTGGAAACCAACTCTGCCCTTCACCTGCGAACAGGACAGCCCAGGGGTCAGAGTTGATCTGAGGAACCCTCCACAATTAATTTCATTCAACCTTACTTTTCCATGGTTTATGAGTGTTCTTCTAATGGAATAAATAGTGTATTTCACACATTATAAGAAAGCTCTGATTACTCCTTAGATTGGATATTGCAAATGGTTTATGAGTTTTTGTTTTGCAGTATATTTAGCATCCTTGTTGTTTTCTATTTTTTAACTGAAGATTTGTAAAAGTAGGTAAAGTTCCCAGGATCTAATTTTAACCCACGACAAAGCTGAGATGTGGAAGCATATAAAGGAAGCTGTCTATAACTCAGGGCGCCGTGGCAGAGGGCTGCTAGTGGAGCCTGGGCTTGGACCGCAGCAGCATTGGTGGCCCTGTGTCTCTCCCCAGGACGTGCAGTACTCAGACATCGACTACATGGAGCGGCAGCTGGACTTCACCCTCAGCCCCAAGTTTGCTGGGCTCCCAGCTCTGATCCAGCGCCTGCATGGCGATGGGATGCGGGTCATCCTCATCCTGGTTGGTGCTCACGTGGATGTCATGTGGGGAGGCTGGTGGGCTGTGGGGGAGAAGGCCTGTGCTGTCCTTCCTTCCATGGAGTGAGCGGGAAATGGAAGCCCCACTAGGAAATGCATTTCCCTGGAGTCCAGAAACTACCATCCAGGGGACCCTAAGGCATTCTCTCTGCAGGAATTCTCCTTTTTCATGTTCGTGTCATTGCCAGCTTTGGTTTTCGCAGCTGACTTGTGGTTTGATTTCAGGACCCAGCGATCTCTGGCAATGAGACGCAGCCTTACCCTGCCTTCACTCGGGGTGTGGAGGACGACGTCTTCATCAAATACCCAAATGGCGGCAGCATTGTCTGGGGAAAGGTATGAGCTGGGCAGTGATCTGCTAGTGCCCAGCCCGGGGTGGGTCATACTATGTCTGAGCCTGGGGTGGGTCATGCTATGTCTGAGCCTGGGGTGGGTCATGCTATGTCTGAGCCTGGGGTGGGTCATGCTATGTCTGAGCCTGGGGTGGGTCATGCTATGTCTGAGCCTGGGGTGGGTCATGCTATGTCTGAGCCTGGGGTGGGTCATGCTATGTCTGAGCCTGGGGTGGGTCATGCTATGTCTGTTTGTGCCTGTGGTTTTTGGCCATTTCCATTTAGACATTGAGGGCAAAAGCTCTCATTTTTTTCAATCACTGTTTGTTGGTACAGTTGAAATTTTGTTAAGGTAGTTGAATTTTCTGGAGCAACCCTCTGTGATAAAATCTTACTTCCCTGGGCTATGGCTTAAAGTTTCTTAGGAAATACCATGTAAGAGGGATTGACTGCTTGGTGCTACTGAACCTTTTTTCTCTGCACAGGTCTGGCCTGACTACCCTGGTGTTGTTGTGAACAGCTCTCTGGACTGGGACAGCGAAGTGGAGGTAAGAGACCCTCTGTGGGTGTCGAGTCTGGTCAGGGTTGCTGGAAGGGGCAGCCATGCTCATGGTGTTGGACATGCTCCTGCTACGATCAGGAGCATGGGCAGGGTGAAACGTTTGAGGGGCATGGCCTGGGTGTCAGTCTGTGTGCCAGACACCTCACGTGTGACGTTTGCTTCCCAACGTCAGCATGGTTGGTACTATTCATGGGATTTAAGCCTCAGAGAGCTTCAATTACAAGACAGAATATCAAAAGCTGAGAAGCCTACACCAAGTGTGCCTTTGATGCTAGTATATTATGGTTGGGCTAATTTCCCACTTGGGTTTTATATTGGGTGCAGTTCTGTCGGACACGACCGATACTGACTTGACTCTAATTCTCCCTCCTGACCCTCCCCATTGTTCTAATCTTGGCTGAGCTGGAGCTGACGCTGTCTGGTGAAAGGTGCCCTGTGTCAGGGCCTGTGACTTCTGCCTCCGTCTTCCAACCCCTGCAACCCTGGAGTGCCCCTCTCGGGATTCTGAGCGATGCAGCCCCTTGCCCCCTTGCTCCTCCGTGACGCAGATTCTTGTCTGTTGATCCACTGCTGTCTTCTTCGTTTTCCTCTTTTCCGTTGATCCAGGTGCATGATTCCCCCTTGCATTTCGTACGTGGTGTATGAGAACTGCAGCTCCTCCATGCCTTGTCCTCTTTGCTGTCCCCTCCCTCACCCCACCCCCAACATCATTCAGCTCTTTAACTCTGAAAATGCCATGGTTAACGTGGAGGAGGCTATTTTCTGAGCCTTACAAAGGAGCGTCACATTCCCTAATAATGACATGGAAAATAGAGACATTTAGGAATCTTTGCACGGATGCACAATAAAACACTGAGTCTTATCTAAACGTGTTTAAGCTAAACATGGTGGGATTTAGAATAGTCAACCAGAAAATGTAAAACAGGGGCCTTGTTCTAAAAAGTTTACAAAGTAGTTAAGGATTTAGATTTTTTTTTTTCAACAGGCAGAGTGTACAGTGAGAGAGAGAGAGACAGAGAGAAAGGTCTTCTTTTTCCATTGGTTCACCCCCTAATGGCTGCTGTGGCCGGCGCACTGTGCTGATCTGAAGCCAGGAGCCAGGTGCTTCTCCTGGTCTTCCATGTGGGTGCAGGGCCCAAGGACCTGGGCCATCCTCCACTGCACTCCTGGGCCACAGCAGAGAGCTTAACATTGTTAGTTGAAACATAATAATTGTACAGATTTATAGGGACAAGTATACAGTGTGCGATGATCAGATCAGCATTAGTAGCATTTACGCCTCCTACAACATTTATCACTTCTTTGTACTGGGAATCTTTGAAAAAGAGCTATAAATGGGTCGACTAAAGTAAAGCATTGATTTTATTTTAGGGGGAAGATGAAGAGAAGGGGCGGTTGACACGGCCTCTTTAAGTCTTCTAATATGATGTTATACACATGTGCAGTTTTGTTGAGATTCTCAAACCTGAGCAAACATGGGTGCATCCTCGTGGTTCACCAGGCTGTTTCTTTCCCACCTGGTTCAATGCATCCGATGTCGGCCCTGTGGGGCTGCAGGTGCCCCTGGCTCCTGCTCTGTCTTCATCTGGCATCTGCCCTGTGGGGCTGCAGCTGCCCTTGGCTCCTGCTCTGTCTTCATCCAATGTCGGCCCTGTGGGGCTGCAGGTACCCCTGGCTCCTGCTCTGTCTTCATCCGATGTCGGCCCTGTGGGGCTTCAGGTGCCCCTGGCTCCTGCTCTGTCTTCATCTGATGTCTGCCCGGTGGGGCTGCAGATCCTCTGGGCTCCTGCTCTGTCTTCATCCAATGTCTCTTCATCCAATGTCTGCCCTTGGGGCTGCAGGTGCTCGTGGCTCCTGCTCTGTCTTCATCCGATGTTGGCCCTGTGGGGCTGCGGGTGCTCTGGGCTCCTGCTCGGTCTTCTCCTGATGTCGGCTCTGTGGGGCTGCAGCTGCCCCGGCTCCTGCTCTGTCTTCATCTGATGTCTGCCCTTGGGGCTGCAGATCCTCTGGGCTCCTGCTCTGTCTTCATCCGATGTCAGCCCTGTGGGGCTGCAGGTGCCCCTGGCTCCTGCTCTGTCTTCATCCGATGTCTGCCCTTGGGGCTGCAGGTGCCCCTGGCTCCTGCTCTGTCTTCAAGCAGTCCATGGGCAATGGCAGGACACAAGTTAAGGTTGGGCATGTATCCCATGGGCGGTTCAGGGTGCTGTCTGCTGCCATTCATGTTGATGGGAAGGTGAAAACAGTCTACAGATGCTTTGCAGATGCTGAGCGTGGATGTGATCTGCTCCTCACACTCGGTGCACTTCTCATGAACACAGAACAGGGTGCAGACCATCACCTGTTGGTACAAGTCTCTGCTTGAGTTATCCCTAAGTGCCTATCTGCTGTCTAACGCATTTTTTGGGACAAATGGACTGTGTTTAATTCTTACAGAAATACAGAGCTTATGCGGCCTTCCCAGACTTTTTCCGTAATTCAACTGTCAGCTGGTGGAAGAGGGAAATACAAGAAATGTACACCAACCCACAGAACCCAGAGAAGAGCTTGAAGTTTGACGGCTTATGGATTGTAAGTGTGTGTGTGTGCACATGCCTCGGTGTGTGCCTGTCTGTGTGTGCCTTGAGCTTTGGTGCCCCGACCTTTAGTTAAAAGGAGAATAATCTCACAGAAAGACAGTGGGCGTGCTACCACGTCCTCCACCCAGGCGTGGCACAGCCCAAACACCTCCCACCTTGTGCTTCACCCGAGGGTCTTGCTGTCAAACCTCAGAGGTGATTATGGAAGACGATGGAATTTTGTTTCCTTCAGTCTCCATGGAGAAAATTTGGAATTTTTTTTTCCTCACACCTCGATGGAGAAAATGTGCTTTTCCCCTCTGGCTGCTCATTCCATAGGGCCTGAATGACCTTTCTAGCCACTTCCACCTGGGGTTTCATGAGCCCTCCTGCTTGGCATCTACAGGGAATACCGGATGTTGAATGATTGTTCCTGGCACCTGTTCTCAATTTGACAGGCTACAATTGTCTTGAGAAGTAAGTGGTGTCTGTGTTGACATTTCCAGGACATGAATGAGCCGGCGAGCTTTGTGAACGGGGCAGTTCCTGCAGGCTGCACGGATCCCACTCTGAACCATCCGCCCTACATGCCATGTAAGGACCCGTGGCCTCCTCACCTGCAGAGCCACGGCCATTGAAGAGTCCAGGGACCGGGGCTTGCTTTTTGGTGCTGGGGTTTATTGGGGTCCAGCAGCAGAGGTGTGGGGAGCAACTCGGACTAGACTAAGTTACTGGAATTAAGACTTATTCTATGCATCTGCTCTCCCACAATATGGCACTGGGAGAGAAGAAAACAGCTTCTACACAGCTGCCTCCAGTTCAGCCAATAAACTGTAGGACTTGCTCCTGATTGGAGGAGAGCAGCGTGCTCGGCGTGTGGGCAGCCGAGTTGGGATTGGTGGAAGAGGACTATATAGGAGGAGAGAGACGGCATGCACCAGGAACATCTAAGAGGAACATCTAAGGGGACCATCTAAGGGAACACCTGTGCAGCCCCCGAGAGAGCCGGCCGGCGGTGTGCCGCTCCCCCGCGGAAGTGGGGAATGTGGCCAGGGGGAACCGCCCTTCCACGGAGGTGGAAGGGACAGTAGCCAACCCGGGAAGAACCAGCAGCAAACCCGGGGAGGGCCGAGCAGACGAAAGAACAGCGCAGGGTCCTGTGTCGTTCCTCCACGAAGAGGGGGAGCGACATAATGGTGCCGTGACTCGGATAGGAAGCCTAGGCAGGGCTTAGTGTCGTTCCCCCACGAAGAGGGGGAGCGACAAGAGGCACTTCCAGCACTTGACCCGTTGGGTGTGTGCAAGTCCCTGGGCCTGCTGGGTGAATTTCCCAAGCTGTCTAGAAACCACATGGCAGTGGTGATGTCTCTAAAGAACTCCAGCAGCTAAATTTCTTAGTTCTGTAGGCTTATGATAATTCCTGCAAAGGAATTTGTTGGGCTACAGATAGTATCTCTCCCTTATTATGGAGTGGATGGTCTTTGGAGTTACACTTGTGTCCACATCTTGGTTCTAGAATTCATTCTCACTGTGAGTTGTATCACCATCTACAGATGATGTGATGTTTTCAAAGCTCAGTTTTTCTGAACCATAAAAGGCACATATGATATCTTTGTCACAGCAATATTTTTTTTTTTTTGACAGGCAGAGTGGACAGTGAGAGAGAGAGACAGAGAGAAAGGTCTTCTTTTGCCGTTGGTTCACCCTCCAATGGCCATCGCAGCTGGCGCGCTGCAGCCAGCGCACTGCGCTGATCCGACGGCAGGAGCCAGGTGCTTCTCCTGGTCTCCCATGGGGTGCAGGGCCCAAGCACTTAGGCCATCCTCCACTGCACTCCCTGGCCACAGCAGAGAGCTGGCCTGGAAGAGGGGCAACCGGGACAGAATCCGGCGCCCCGACCGGGACTAGAACCCAGTGTGCCAGCGCCACAAGGCGGAGGATTAGCAAGTGAGCCACGGCGCTGGCCACAGCAATATATTAAAAATTGCATGACTTCATTTATATGGCAAAAACATAGATCAAAATCTGATGTGCACTGCTTGACAACTATGCGTTCTTCCCCAAACCTCTGCTTTCTCTGAGGGTTCTGCAGGTCAGAGAGCAACACTGTACCCACACTGCTGGGGAAGGGGAGAGGGTGCCCTTTAGAAGTCACGTTATCTTAAAATCCGGAGTCCAACTCTTAACCAAAGTCAAGGTCACCCGGGATCAGAGCTGGCTTTAACATCCCTGCATCTTTTCCCCCAGACCTGGAGTCCAGGGGCACGGGCCTGAGCAGCAAGACCCTGTGCATGGAGAGCGAGCAGATCCTGCCAGACGGCTCCCGTGTGCGGCACTACGACGTGCACAGCCTGTACGGGTGGTCCCAGACCAGACCCACCTACGAGTGAGTCACTGTCTCCCTTCTCCACTGGGTGCAGCCTTCAGGACAGCCAGTGATGGATGAAGCTACTGTGTAGCAATTCTTATTAACTAAGCAAATGCTCATCAACTTGGAGCTTGGAGCTTGGAGCCAGGTCCTGTGTTGATAGTAAGGCAGATAGATTTACGCAAAGCTAACTCACTCCAGTGGAAAACAACGGTCCTCTTGCTGATTGATGTCATAACCATCTGAAATTGCAGCACAAAGCGTTTCTCACGTGTTTGTGGTAAAGTAGATGTAACAAAGTTACCACATTGCCAGTCAGATAAGAGTACAGCAGTTCAATTATGTAAAGTACATAATAGTTATAAAGATAGTAAAAGAGTGCATTACTGTTTTATGTATTTGATCTATTATATTTTTATACTATTGTTGGGGACACACATGGGAATATTGTGGTTAGTTTATGCTGCAGCTGCCGTTCCTATAGCTTTAGTTATAAGTCATAAAGTAAATGCAGAGGTTTGGATATTTCTCTCCTTTATTTCAAAAGTGAATCATCTCAACAGGGATTTTTGTAGGCCACCATGTCGGCCCCTATGAACTGATTTTTTTTTTATAAATAAGAGTGTACATTAACATAATGATCAAAATAGTGCAAGAAATAAGCTAACCCAGTGGCATAGTCATTGATGACAATTATCCATTAGTAAGTGTTGCACAAACTTGTATATGCTATACTTTTATTTGAATGGCAGGGTAGGAGATGTAGTTATGCTTGATTTTTGAAAACATGTGAGTAATGCATTGTACTGTAGTTTTTTAAAGATTTACTTATTTATTTGAAATGCAGCAGAGTTACAGAGAGGCAGAGGCAGAAAGAGAGAGAGAAAAAGAGAGAGAGAGAGAGAGGTACTCCATCCGCTGGTTCACTAACCAAATCGCTTCAATGGCCTGGGCTGGGCCTGGCAGGCTGAAGCCATGACCTAGAGGTTTCATTTGAGTCTCTCATGTGGGTTCAGGGGCCAAGAACTTGAGAACGTGGGCCATCTTTCACTGCTCTCCCAGGCACATTATCTGGGAGCTGCATGAGAAGTAGAGCAGCTGGGTCTTGAACCTGCACCCATAGGGGATGCTGGTGACAACGAGGGGGTCTTAACCTCTGTGCCACAGTGCTGGCCCCAAATTTAGATCTTGTAAATAGGAGTGTACATGACAGTGATGATGCAGGTAGTGTATGAATACAGACCCAGTGACACAGTCGCTGATGAGCATTATCTATTGTTGATTGCTGTATATAATTGCATGTACCATACTTTTATTTGAATGGCAGTTCAGTTGGTGTGTTTATACCTGATTATCAATAACATGTGAGTAATTCATGTACCACAGTTGTTTTTAAAGATTTATTTATTTACTTGAAAGGCAGAGTTGCAGAATCAGAGACAGAGAGAGAGAGAGAGAGGGGTCTGCAATGTGCTGCTGGTTCACTCCCCAGTGGCTGCAAGGCCGGGGCAGAGCCACTCCGAAGCCAGGGGTCTGGAGCTTCCTCCGGGTCTCCCATGGGTGTGCAGGGGCCCAAGAACTACTACTAATACTCCTTTCCCAGGCCACAACAGAGAGCTGGATCAGAAGTGGAGCAGCCAGGACACATACTGTCCCCCATATGGGTTGCGGGCATTGCAGGCAGTGGCTTTAGCTGCTACAGCACAGCACTGGCCCCACATATATGACAATGTAAGATGGCTATGCCATCACCGGCAATAGGATTTCCCAGTCCACTGGGATTTTATGGCATCACCATTGCACGCACAAGGCACTGAGTACATGAAGAGCAGAGTTTAGGGAAGACTTCCTTTTATGCAACCCAGTGGGTTCAGTACATGGTGATGGTCTTGGAACAACACTGTGTAGAGACACACCCATGATAGACATGTCCATGGTCTGGGATGAGTCGGTGGGGGCCTCACGCTGGCTGATTTCCGTATCCCTGCAGCCATGCAGCAGACATCAGGGACCGTGTCCTGGGTTCAGCCCCGAGGGCAGGAGCTCTGTGCCTTTCCATCTCCTGCTCTGCCCTCAGCTCACCTCCTTTCCCTCCACCAGAGCCGTGCAGGAGGTGACGGGACAGCGAGGGATCGTCATCACCCGCTCCACGTTCCCCTCTTCTGGCCGCTGGGGGGGACACTGGCTGGGAGACAACACAGCCGCGTGGGACCAGCTGAGGAAGTCTATCATTGGTGTGCAGCCTTGTGCCAGGGCCCCTGCTGGCAGGGAGGGGGCGGTGAGGGGAGAGGAGGCAGGGCTCAGGGCCTGGTCTCACCCCACTGTGGTTCCCTTTGCAGGCATGATGGAGTTCAGCCTCTTTGGCATTCCCTATGTAAGTGTCCCTGGATCCCTCCTGCTGACCTGGGAGCTGGAGCCAGCGTTCAGAAACCCTCAGCAGGCCCCTTTTCTTGCTTCTCGGTTCAGACAGGAGCAGACATCTGTGGGTTCTTTCAAGACGCTGAATATGAGATGTGTGCTCGCTGGACGCAGCTGGGGGCCTTTTACCCCTTCTCCAGGAACCACAACACCATTGGGACCAAGGTAGGGCATTCACTGCTCCCTCAAGTGATGTGTGTGGTGTGAAAGGCACCCTGCATTTGTGAGCTACATTGATGTAGTCGGTTTTCACTGGGGGTGTCTTTAAAATATTCAACCCAGTGTCTGCATGAACTGTACTTACCTATATTCTTTAGCTTACCCTTTTATTTAGACAGTGCATCCCAAGAAGAATGCCTTATGGGAAATCGCACTATGTGCCCTGGGTGAGCACAGGGACCTCATGCATTCTGTTAGCAATATTCTGTGACTTACTTGGGCATCATCTTTGGTGTGGCTGTGTGTGGTGCTCATCAGAAATAAGCTCTCAGTGACTTCCTCAACGTCCCCCAGGCTGAGCTCCTCACAGTCTTTTTCTTCTTTTATTTTTTTTTTTCAAATTGACTTTCTTTTTTTTTAACTTTTTTTTTAGCAAATATAAATTTCCAAAGTACAGCTTATGGAGTGGGAATAAGAGAGGAAGGAGATTTGCAATTTGGGACATGCTCAAGCTGACTTGCCCCAAATGGTAGAGTTAGAAATGTGCCAGGGGATTCCAATACAATCCCATCAAGATGGCATGTACCAATGCCATCTCACTAGTCAAAGTGATCAATTTCAGTTCACAATTGATCACAATGATAGGTCTAAGAGTCAAAGCAATCACACAAACAAGACTAGTGTCTGCAAATACTAACTGATAGAATAAAAAAGGGAGAGAAGGATCCAACATGGGAAGCGAGATACACAGCAGACTGATAGAATGGCAGATGTCCTAAACAGCACTCTGGCCTCAGAATCAGCCCTTAAGGCATTCGGTTCTGGCTGAAGAGCCCATGAGAGTATTTCAGGCATGGAAAGCCAAGACAGTCTGGCAAAAAAAAAAAAAAAAAATGACCTAAATGAAAGATCTCCGGGAGTGAGATCCCAGTGGAAAGAACAGGTCATCAAAGAAGGAGGTACCTTTCTCTGAAGGGAGGAGAGAACTTCCACTCTGACTACGACCTTGTCTAAATATGATCAGAGTTGGTGAACTCAAAAAGCTTCCATAGCCTTGGCAACTCATGACAAGAGCCTAGGGTGATTACTGATGCCATAAACAAGAGTGTCAATTTGTTAAGTCAACAACAGGAGTCACTGTGCACTTACTCCTCATGTAGGATCTCTGTCCTTAATGTGTTGTTCAATGTGAATTCATGCTATAACTAGTACTCAAACAGTATTTTTCACTTTGTGTTTCTATGTGGGTGCAAAATGTTGAAATCTTTACTTAATATATGCTAAACTGATCTCTATATAAAGAGAACTGAAAATGAATCTTGATGCGAATGGAAGGGGAGAGGGAGTGGGAAAGGGGAGGGTTGCTGGTGGGAGGGACGTTATGGGGGGGAAGCCATTGTAATCCATAAGCTGTACTTTGGAAATTTATATTCATTAAATAAAAGTTAAAAAAAAGTACAGCTTATGGATTACAATGGCTCCCCCCCATAACTTCCCTCCTGCCTGCAACCCTTCATTTTCAATTATCTTTATATACAGAAGATCAATTTAGTATATATTAAGTAAAGATTTCAACAGTTTGCACCCACATAGAAACACAAAGTGAAAAATACTGTTTGAGTACTAGTTATAGCATGAATTCACATTGAACAACACATTAAGGACAGAGATCCTACATGAGGAGTAAGTGCACAGTGACTCCTGTTGTTGACTTAACAAATTGACACTCTTGTTTATGGCATCAGTAATCTCCCTAGGCTCTTGTCATGATTTGCCAAGGCTATGGAAGCCTTTTGAGTTCGCTGACTTCAATCTTATTAAGACAAGGTGATAGTCAAAGTGGAGGTTCATGCCTCCCTTCAGAGAAAGGTACCTCCTCCTTTGATGGCCCCATTCTTTCCACTGGGATCTCACTCACAGAGATCTTTCATTTAGGTCCTCTTTATTTTTTTTTCCAGAGTGTCTTGGCTTTCCATGCCTAAAATACTCTCATGGGCTCTTCAGCCAGATCCAAATGCCTTAAGGGCTGGTTCTGAGGCCAGAGTGCTGTTTAGGACATCTGCCATTCTATCAGTCTGCTGTGTATCCCACTTCCCATGTTGGATCCTTCTCTCCCTTTTTTATTCTATCAGTTAGTATTTGCAGACACTAGTCTTGTTTGTGTGATTGCTTTGACTCTTAGACCTATAAGTATGATCAATTGTTGACTGAATTTGATCACTTTGACTAGTGAGATGACATTGGTACATGCCATCTTGATGGGATTGAATTAGAATCCCTTGGACATTTCTAACTCTACCATTTGGGGCAAGTCAGCTTGAGCATGTCCCAAATTGCACATCTCCTCCCTCTCTTATTCCCACTGTTACATTTAACAGCGATCACTTTTCAGTTAAATTTAAGCACCTAAGAAAATTGTGTGTTAATTACAGAGTTCAACCAATAGTATTAAGTAGAACAAAAAAATACTAAAAGGGATAAAGTATTAAGTTGTACATCAACAGTCAGGACAAGGGCCAATCAAGTCACTCTTTCTCATGGTGTTCATTTCACTTCAACAGGTTTCCTTTTTGGTGCTCAGCTGAGCTCCTCACAGTCCTCTTCCTCTTTTGCAGAGACAAGACCCTGTGTCCTGGAACGCCACCTTTGTGAATCTTTCCAGAAGCGTCCTGGAGACCAGATACACCCTGCTGCCCTATCTCTACACCCTGATGTACAAGGCCCACGTGGAGGGCAGCACTGTGGTGCGGCCTCTCCTGCACGAGTGAGTGTCTAGTGGGATCTCAGTGAGTGGTGGGTGACTTCCTGCCTTCTCTAGGGTGCCAGGGGATGCCTTTTCACTGTGTTGTGTATGCTGTTGGTGATGAAGGTCACTTCTGAATTGGGAAAATAATATAATCCAGCACAGGATTGTTTGTGTCCAGTTTGGCTGTGCCAACACCTTCCTGGCACCTGTAGCTATTCAGTGATGAGTTGTCCCAGGTCCCAGCGGCCTCAGGTCACACAAGAAGGCATATTCCCGGGGAAACATGAAGAATGAGGGCCTTGCTTGCATTTAGTGTGTGCCATGGCAAAGTCGTGAGGCAGTAGTTTATAGGAGATAACAGCTAACTCTCCCCCGTTCTGAGGTTTGATGAGCATGTCCTAGGACAGATGGCTGTGGGCCTGTGTGTTCCTGAGTGAGCCAGGCCTAGGCCAGCAGTAAGGATCCTCAGGTGCAGCGGGTTCCTGGCTTGGGTCTGAGTTGAGGACTTCCTTCAGGGCTGGGCTGGGCTGGCTGGGCTGTGACTGTGGCCCCTTCATGTCCTTTTCAGGTTTGTGTCAGACCGGGTGACCTGGGACATAGATGGTCAGTTCCTGCTGGGCCCGGCCTTCCTGGTCAGCCCTGTGCTGGAGCCTGTGAGTAGGGGGCCTCTGGTGGGCAGAGGGTCTCGGCTGTGAGGCTGGAGAACAGTGAGGGGAGAAGAGGCCTGGTGCCGGGTCCTGACGCCTGCTTCTTGTCCTGCCTCTGTCTCTTCCTGCTCTCCTGAGCCTGTCACTCAGGGACCCCGGGCCTCAGCTCCTACAGCTCTCAAATTAGCACAGTTCTGGTTTCAAGGCCATCTAGAATTAAACTCCTCAGATCTTTGTGAAAATCTAATCATTTTTATATCTCCTTAATGAGTAGTGCATAGTCAGGTTGGGCGGGCGTGGAAATTACTCATTATTTTATTCCATGATTAGTGAAATAAATCATGTCAGTGAGGTGCCTTGCAGGAACTGTGCAATCTTACTTCTCTCTGGCCCGCCAGGAAGCCTTGAACTTTTCTCTTTTCCTCTGTTAGTGTTTTGGCTTGTGTACCCTCACAAAATCTTACCGCACTACTTGCAGCTGGCATTTGATCCAACATAGAACACCAGCTGTAATGCTTGCTTCCCGTCTCAGTGTTGTTCCTGGCTTCCCCACTCAGCGTCACTTCCCGTTGAAGTGCACCTGGGAGGCACAAGGAAACTTGGTCTCCTGCTACCCTTCTGTGATTCTCAGAAGGAATCCCAGGTTCCTGGCTTTGGCCTTGTCAAGTCCTTCTGTTCCCGGCATTTGGGGAGTGAGGCATCAGATTGGGGATTTCTCTCTCTCTCTCTCCTCACTCTGTTTTCCTCTGCCTTTCAAATTAAGAAAACTTTTTTAATTTATTGTATTATACCTCCATCTTTTTTTCTGTTCAGACTAATCTCAGTTGTTTGTCTCTTTGAAGTGGGTATCCAGTAGATCTGTGTGCTAATGGTGCTGTTTTTCCCTCTTGGCGTCTTGGAGAGGAAAGAAGGCTTTATGGGAACCATTTGTCTGTGGGAGACAAATCTCCCCGTTTGTGAGGTTCCCCCCACTGCTGAGCTCTAGAACAATGTGGCCGTGGGTGCAGGGCCACCACTCTGGTTTTAACCCCTATGCTGTGCGAACTGGGTTCTCTGTCCTTGGTGGCCATATCCTAGCACCCATGCTCTGTGCTTAATTCCAGAACGCCAGAGAAGTCACTGCATATTTCCCGGGAGCCCTCTGGTATGACTACTACACGGTAAGTTTTTGTGAATATTCGTACAACTTGTGTTTAATTAAAATTAAGATTTTATTGTTGAGATCAACTAATATGTATAATACATGTGTGCCTTTAATTACTCTTTAAGGGTCTTTGGTCCCTGTCCTTCTGAGGAAGAGACCTTTCTTTCCTTGTTGTCAACAATAACTAATCCTTACCTTTAAGTAGCAGTAACTAATTGTGAGAATTTGCCTGCTGTAAGACAGTTGTCAGTATCTGCAACGTTTATTGTTGTCCTACTGGAGAAAGGTGTGGGAGGAGACAAAAGCGACTCCTGGTGAGAGAGAAGGCCAGCATTCCACTGTGGAGGGTGTATCAGATTCTGTGAGGTGAATGAAGGGTTGTTCTACCTCCTCCAGCACTGCTCCGTGGTACAGAAACAGCCTGTGGGCTAGTGCCGCGGCTCACTAGGCTAATCCTCCGCCTGAGGTGCCAGCACTCCAGGTTCTAGTCCCGGTTGGGGCACCAGATTCTGTCCCGGTTGCCCCTTTTCCAGTCCAGCTCTCTACTGTAGCCCGGGAAGGCAGTGGAGGATGGCCCAGGTCCTTGGGCCCTGCTCCCGCTTGGGAGACCAGGAGGAAGCACCTGGCTCCTGGCTTTGGATCAGTGCGGTGTGCTGGCTGCAGTGGCCATTGGGGGGTGAACCAACGGAAAAGGAAGACCTTTCTCTCTCTCTCTCTCACTGTCCACTCCGCCTGTAAAAAAAAAAAAGAAACAGCTTGTGGAGTGAGGGTCTCTGGGACCCATTCCAAGGCTTTTGTAGTGTGAGCTGTGCAATCCAAAATGGCAGCAGATTCTCCCAGGATGTCCCAGCAAGAATGAGTGAATGTGAGAAACGTGGTACAGGGCTGTGCTGAGGGGCGATGAACAATGTGTTCAGAAGGTGTGGTGAGACAGTCATCTCGATTTCCCTCTGCCCACAGGGTGCGGATGTTAATGCAAAGGCCCAGTGGAAGGTCCTGCCTGCCCCTCTTGACCACATCAACCTTCACGTCCGTGGCGGCTACATCCTGCCCTGGCAGGAGCCTGCGCTGAACACCAACCAGAGGTGAGCGTGGACGGGGGTCCCCTCTGCACAGCAGTTAGTGCACCGCTCTGTAATGAAGCCCAGCGGTGTGGAGGCATGGACGCCTACTGGTGAGGGTTGAGATATTCCTGTTTTCTGTGAAATTATTGACATCAGAAGAAGGTGCACCTGGTGACTTTGCTCTTGTTCCTAAGGAAAGGTAGATCCATATGCTGATAGTAGCTTAACCCCTCTGAGTTATGTTTGAATCAGGTCCTTAAGTAGCTTTCTTTTTATTGTAGTCAAGAGATGTGTAAATAAAAAGTTATATAGAATCTCGTACTTCCCATTTTTCTTTTTCAAATTAATCTTTTTATTATTAACACAAAGAGCATATTTCATGTATTTCATAGATGCAATTCTATGGTAGAACATAATGACGCTTCCCGCCTTCACTCCCTCCCTCTCTCCTTTCTACTTCCTTCTTTTCTTTTTTTTTTTCTCCTAATTTTTGCAACAATGTATTTTAGGTGGGAACATTCCAAGGTAATTTGAAAAAAATCCTTTGAGGTTTAGTCTCTGTTTGTTCATAAATGTGTTTCCCACAGTCGGCAGAATGCTCTTGGTCTCATCATCGCCCTGGATGAGAACAAAGAAGCGAAAGGTGAACTCTTCTGGGATGACGGAGACACCAGAGGTGAGCATGTGATGACAACGTCAGGAGCAGTGGTAGATGAACCACAGGTGGAAGGGAGCCATGTTCTATCTGCTAGAACTGTCCCCATTTCCACCCAAATACACACTCACTCTCATTAATCAGCAGAGAACTGCGAATCACAAACCACAGGGAGGAGTTACCTAAGACCTGTTGGGCTGACCCTTCGGAAAAAGGCAAGAGATAACGAGTGTTAGTGAGGGTGTAGAGAGAAGGAAAGACTTGTGTGCCATTGATGGGAATGTACATTGGGCCAGCCATTGTGGGAAACAGAATGGAAGTTTCTAAAGAAATTACAAATAGGTCTGCCATCCAGTTCAGCAATCCTTCTTCTGGGCATATGTCCAAAGAAATGAAACCAGTATCTTGAAGATGTATCTGCATCTCCATGTTCATTGTAGCACTTTTTATAATAACCAGGGTATTAACATCCACTGATGAATGAATATTATTCAGCCGTAAAAAGAAGTGTTGCCATTCGTGAAGCGCAAAAGGCAGAGAGAAATCTGCCTCTGTGACAGAGAGGCCAGTCTGACTTGTCATTTTCTCACTTTCAGATACTGTGGCCAGTAACGTCTATCTTTTATGTGAGTTTTCTGTCACCCAAGTGAGTAACCAGTTTCTATGAATCTTAGGCATGGGCTTCTGTCTGTTTATTAGCACATGGGGTCATGTTTGTATATTCCTGTATTTGAAACCTCATATGAACTTACGACTTTTATTGAATAACATTTTCAGCTTTGCTTGTCTTCTCCAAATTGAACCAGGCATGCCATCATAGAAGGCAGTGATCTGAGTAGAGATAAATCAAAGCATCCAGTGTTTCCAATGACAGTTGTAAAAAATATACGTGTATCATAGATATTTCTTAAATCAGGGGATTATTAAAATAATATCTACTTCTTAAGCACACATTATTAGAGATAGCTTGGAGATGCCCAGAGAAGTAGAAAGTATAGAATACTTGTGTGACTGCAGCATCTATATATGATTCCTTTGTACTTAACTGTCCTTGATTTTTTTTTTTTTTTTGTAGAACCGCTTGGATGTGAAGATCTCACAGTCAGGCTACAAGGACCCCAACAATTTAGCTTTTAAAGAGATTAAAATCTTTGGGACACAGGAACCTAGCAATGTCACAGTGAAACACAATGGTGTCCTGAGCCAGATGTCTCCTATGGTCACTTATGATTACAGCCTGAAGGTAAATACCCATCTCGTTGACATAATTAATCAAGAATGGGTGTAGCTTCCTGGCAGGGTAACCTGAGTTCCTGAAGGACCAGAGCAGATGCTGAGACCTGTGTGGGGGGTCTCAGTTTGGGAAGGAGAAAAGGGATGAGGAGGTGGCGGAGCTGGCATGAAGGGAGAGCTGCTGAGAGATGGCACAGGTGCAGTGGTCTTTCCACACCACCTCCCCATTTGTCACTCTGCCCTCTACAGCTTGACATTCAAACGAATAGAATCCTGGGACACAAAGGAGCAGGGTTAGCAGGGTGGGGAGCAGGATTAGAGGGGAAGTGAATCTGAAAGCTGTTGTGGGGTGAAGGAAGAAGTCCCATGAATTAAATCTCTGAAGTTTTTTCCAACAAAACTTTGAGTTTTGAGATATGTGACTTTCACCCTGAAACATACATTTTAGAGAAATACTTTAAAGAATTTGATAATCCTCTCTAATGGATAGGTATTTTGTTAGGTAATAAAAATAAAATATTTTATTGGTTGTAATGAGCCTTGACATCTTGAACAACTTGTAATCAGTTATCATTTATGAGGAATCTTTTCCCAAGATAATCCATCCCACAAGTACTCCATGTCCCCAATGAGAAGCATGGGATGCATGTGTTATGAGAGACATTTCAAATCTGGGGAAAATTACTCAATTTTCTACCATAGTGGCAGACTGATGGTGTTTGATGCTTTGTCCAGATGGCACATATTAAGGACACATCCACTATGAGCTTTGAATTCCCGTGGCTTTGCGTGGATGAGTGTGTGGTGAAGTACAATCCACTTAAGGGATACAGAAAAGAAAATGCACTCAATAAAAATATGTCAAATAAATCAACTGTTATGAGATCAAAGAACACTTTTTGAAATTTGCTAGTGAGGAAACAATTTATACACGTGAAACTATTTTGAAAGAGGCAGGCAACTCAATGTATAGGAAGCAGTAACTTAGGCTAAATTGGCTATTCAACATTTAATAGAAGTGAAAGCAAAACTGCAGAGTGGGGCTCGGGCGATGGTGTATATGACAGGGTTATCAGATACAGAAGACGGGGAACCCCCCTGGAACTTACTGATTTGGGACTTCTGTCTTTTATAAGAGATGTGCGAGGTACAGAGACGGACATTGGTTCAGCGTCTCAAAGACAGCAAGGCTGAAGTGTTTGTTTTCTCTTGGGATTAGAAGCAACGCTTGGTTTCAGTCAATATGCCCCTCTTTTAGCAGAAATAGAGGGGGAGAGGGGAGAGAGACAGTGTCCTTAAAGCAGGAGAAAGACACTTTGCAAGCAGCTCTTGGTGTACTCAAGCTTATGTCTTAACGGTGACAGCAACGTTGCATCGATTGGACTTGTGTATTCTAACTCTTGATTGGAACTTGTGTATTCTAAGCTGAAATGGTGAACAAGAAGGAACATTTTATATGGAACAGGCAACTAGCAGTGCGTTCAACAAATGGACAAATTTCCATAGAAAAGAGATATCAGAATAACAGCATCCAAGGACTGAGAACAGCATAACATTATTACTCTATGAGTTTGTGTAGCTGGCATAGGTAGGATTAACACTGGGAAGGAGATAAGTTTGAATAGGATTTCTGTAGTTGGGTTTTGTTGGATCTTAGGTGTTCAAATGAGCTCATGCAGGACCTATTCTCAAACAGTCTCATATTGATTCCTGAATCATGGCTGTGCCATTATGCAATCCTTGTCTAGGGCTCTCAGAGAGTTAAATTAATGGGACAGTGAGGTGAATGACGATTGATACTGGGAGACTGGGATAAGGATGATTATAATGTGACATGCAGACATGAGAGAACTTTCTTTATATAAAGTGCTATTTATAGACTTGGTCAAATAAGAAAGGTGAAAAATAATATTAAAATGGGAGTAAGTGTTTGAAATATTGAGTGGAATTCCCTGAGGAAGATATGGAATCTATGGGCTTAGAGAAATGAAGTGGCTGTGATGTTGGAAATAAAAGCAACTATAATGATGTTGCCCATTCCTTAATTTTATTGTTGATAAAAATGAGACCCAAAGGATGGAAATAGTTTGTCACAGACAAATGAGAAGGAGCACCCAAGCCATGTGGTCTTCATTGCTGTTTTCTGTCCCCCACTCCAGACCGCTGGGGAGCCCTGGTCTGGGGAGGAGGGAGTAGGACACTCAGCTCAGCATGGGACCTGCCACAGAGTCTTTCTGACTACATCAAGGGGAAAGAGGACTCAGGGAGGGAATACAAGGGGTGCACGTAGCAGATTCAGCCGACCCTAACTCTTCCCACAACGTAATGTGCCAGGTTCTGAGAGTCGGAGAACTTGTGCCCCTTGAATCTCCCTCTGCCAAGCCTGCAGCATCACATCAGCTGCAGTCATGTGTTCCTAGGAGGTGGAGAATCTGGTTTCTATTTCATTTTTTAGTGAGACATGAGTCTGTGGATGACTGTCCTGTGTGTTTCCCATTCCCACAGGTGGCTGTTATCACAGAAATTGACCTTGTCCTGGGAGAAGCGTACACGGTGGAGTGGACCTTGACGATGAGGGATGAGGAAAAGATCGACTGCTATCCTGATGAGCAGGGAGTTTCTGCAGACAGCTGCATTGCCCGTGGCTGTGTCTGGGAGGTAACCAGGCGGGTGGTGCTATCACGCCTTAAAACCTCTCTGCTTACTCCGCACCTACAAGAGGATAGTCCCAGCACATATGTGTCTGCTTAATCTTTAGCACGAGTTTCCCTAAATACCTGCTTTGGTTGTGGAGAGTGGTGGCGGTTGGAAACAGGAGTGGGACACATTTTATAGATAGATTTATCTATCTATTTATATGTCTATATCTATCTCTATCAATATCTATATCTATATATAAAGTAAATATATATTAAGTACATTAAATAAACACTATATATTGTTTATATATTATATATGTTGTTATATATAAACTATATATGTCGCTCCCCCTCTTCGCGGAGGAACGACACTAAACCCTGCCTAGGGTTCCTATCCGAGTCACGGCACCATTATGTCGCTCCCCCTCTTCATGGGGGAACGACACTAAACCCTGCCTAGGCTTCATATCCGAGTCACGGCACCATTATGTCGCTCCCCCTCTTCGCGGAGGAACGACACAGGACCCTGCGCTGTTCTTTTGTCTCCTCGGCCCTCCCTGGGTTTGCTGCTGGTTCTTCCTGGGTTGGCTACCGACCCTTCCACCTCCGTGGAAGGGCGGTTCCCCCTGCCACTTTCCCCACTTCCGCGGGGGAGCGGCACACCGCCGGCCGGCTCTCTCGGGGGCTGCACAGGTGTTCCTTCAGATAGATGTTCCTCTTAGATGTTCCTGGTGCATGTTGTCTCTCTCCTCCTTTATAGTCCTCTTCCACCAATCCCAACTCTGCTACCCACACACCGAGTACGCTGCTCTCCTCCAATCAGGAGCAGGTCCCACAGTCTATTGGTTGAACTGGAGGCAGCTGTGTAGAAGCTGTTTCCTCCTCTCCCAGCGCCATATTGTGGGAGAGCAGATGCATAGAATAAGTCTTAATTCCAGTAACAGTCTAGTCTGAGTTGCTCCCCACTATATATATATATATTGTTCTTGAAGGTCAGGGATTTAACTTTTGACATCACCCACTGATGTGATAGTGAATGAGTAATGGACTCGCCCTCTTGTCCTATACACTGCATCCCCCACTCTTTCTTGGTATTTTCTGTTTCTAAGGCCACAAGCTCACCCATCATATTCCTTGTTTTTCAGGAATCCACTTCTCCTGGGGTCCCTTTCTGCTACTTCGTCAATGATCTATACTCGGTCAGCAATGTTCAGTATCACTCAGATGGGGCCTCTGCTGACATCTCCCTAAAGTCCTCTGTTGAAGCCAACGCCTTCCCTTCCACACCCGTGAACCCCCTGCGCCTGCAAGTGACCTACCACAAGAATGAAATGCTGCAGTTTAAGGTAAGCCCGGCGTCTGCATCAGACACGGGAAAGCCCTTTTCAGTTGCATTACTTTTTGCCATTCCAGGTTACAGGATCCTTAAATGAGTTTGCTTTTCTAAGTTGATCACATGCTAGTGGACTAGATCTCATCCTGATCCTAAGAACAATGCAGAGGCATTGATTTGTCCTGATCTTCATTTTGAAAAGGTTACTATCGGAAAAATGGTGGGGTGAGCAAGATTGCATGTGGAGAGACAAATTGTGAGAGTCTCTGCAGGCCAAGTGATGAGTGAGTCTGGGAGTAGGCTCAGGTAGGGGTGTGAGGAGCCATGGGCTTATTTTGGAATGAGAAATTGAAATTAGGTGCTGGTGAGGACAGAGAATCATGGCAAATGGTGACCTTGTTTCTAACCTGCATCTGCCTGTGAATAGCAGTGCTGGTTCTGAAATCAGGAATCTTGAAAAGGCTTGTGCTTGGCCGGCGCCGCGGCTCACTTGGCTAATCCTTGCCTGTGGCGCCGGCACACCGGGTTCTAGTCCCGGTTGGGGTGCCGGATTCTGTCCTGGTTGTTTCTCTTTCAGTCCAGCTCTCTGCTGTGGCCTGGGAAGGCAGTGGAGGATGGCCCAGGTGCTTGGGCCCTGCACCCGCATGGGAGACCAGGAGGAGGCACCTGGCTCCTGGCTTCGGATTGGCGCAGCACACTGGCCATAGCAGCCATTTGGGGGTGAACCAATGGAAGGAAGACCTTCTCTCTCTCTCTCTCTCTCTCTCTCACTGTCTAACTCTGCCTGTCAAAAAAAAAAAAAAAAGGCTTGTGCTTGGTCAATATACAATCATTGGTTCAGGCTTTATCCTGAATTTGAGGAACCTGTGAAACGTTCAGCCACAGACAGTGCTTTTTTTTCCTTCCGTGATTTATCTACATCTAGAGATTCAGCAGTGCTTAGGTGGTGTTAGATTTATCTATGGAACTGTAAGTGTGTCGGGGACAGGAATTTGTCCTTTTGCATTTTGCTTCTCAAATCCAGCAGGGCCTGTGAGTGTGTAAGCACTCAGATGTTTGTTGAGAGTAAATGAATGAGGCGCCTCGTGGTGTTGTGTGAAAGGTTCTCCAAATCCAAGTCCAAGTGGACTCTTCTCTGCAGGCATGATGCTGTTTGGTGTTTGTATCTTCACTGTAGCTCTTCCATGTAGCAGGAACCTAATGGGTTTGAAAGAATCAACTTTTCTGGGTTTTTAGCCTTAACTCTTCTTTTTCTGCCTCTTGACCATGAAGTAGCCCTCTCCAGTGTATTATCATCTTCTGAGTTTCTTTAGCATTTTGTACCTTTGTTACATTGTGTGTATGATTTCTTTTAAAATTTATTTGAAATTGGAATGTTGGAGAAAGAGAGATTTGCCACTTGCTGGTTCACTACTCAAATGAACAAGGCAGCCAGGACTGGGACGGCTGAGGCTAGGAGCCCATGATTCCTCCCAGGTGCTGCATATGGGTGGCAGGAGCCCATTCACGTGGGTCATCGTTTGCTGCCTTCCCAGTGCACTGGCAGAAACCTGGATTGGAAGCAGAGTGACTAGGAGTGGAAGTGGCACTCGGACTGTGATGGCGGTTTAGAAAACGACAGCTTGATCTCATCTGTGCTTGGTTAAAGGGTACAAAGGTTTTAAGACTCAGTCTGTATTTCCTATGAAAATCGCTCGTCTCTCAGAAACTGTCGGGCACTTCCTTTCCATGGCCTCACAGCCCTTTGACGGAGCTGCACTAGCACACATCGTCCAGGAACTGCGGCTGCTGCTCGCTCGCTTCCCATTAGCAGGTGGATTTCTTAAAGTCATAGCCCCGACTTATTCAGATCACATCCATTGTGCCATATAGCATCATGTAGAGATAATCATGAACCATATTTTCTTACCACTTTCAGCAGGGACATTCATAATTATTTTAATAAAAAGTTGTGGGTTTGGGGAGATTTTTCAATTCTGAGAAGTGTTCAGGTATTCACTCGTAAGCGATACACAAAATAGAACATAGTATATTCAGAAATATCACACTGACTTCAGAATTATCTTTCCAGTTGGTACCAAAGTCCAAGTGAGTGTATGACTGTAAAAGGGGCCTTAAAAATTATGTGACAGACTCAGGTCAAAATGTTAAACCTGACTTTATTCTTTGGTATGATAATGAAATCCTAGCCATCATGAACTTAAAGAAGACAAAAATATACAGCATATAGGCTGTTTGTCAAACACATTAAGGTTCCTCTAAGGGTACTGATTTAAATGAAACTATCAGTGCTTAAGGTCCTTATTATAGTTTACATATGGAATTCTACATCTGTGTGGTGTAGAATCAAGGTTTTGATACATTTACTCATGATGTATTGATGAAGTCAGGATATTTCAGTTATCCATCATCTCAGAATCCATCATTTCTCTGTAATGACAACATTAAAATGCTTTATTTTATCCCTTTTTAATTACAAAATATTATTCTATTAAGTGTAATCACCCTGTGTGTGATGGAACAGCAAACCTTATTCCCCCACCTGCACCCTTGTCTAACACCTGTTCCCTCTGGCCTAGATCTATGACCCCAACAACAGTCGGTATGAGGTCCCAGTCCCTCTGAACTTACCCGGGGTTCCAGCCAGCAGCCCTGAGAGTCGGCTCTACGAGGTCTCCATTGGGGAGAACCCATTCGGGGTGGTGGTTCGCCGCAAGAGCACAGGCGCTGTCATGTAAGTGCTGTCCTGGGAAAGCCAGCTGCTCGGGGCCCCGAGGGAGGTCCGTGTCTGCTCCCAACCCCTGTCTGTGTTGCAGCTGGGACTCTCAGCTGCTCGGCTTCCTGTTCAACGACCTGTTCATCCGCATCTCCACCCGCCTGCCCTCCGCGTACCTGTACGGCTTTGGGGAGACGGAGCACACGGCCTTCAGGAGAGACCTGAACTGGCACACGTGGGGCATGTTCTCCCGAGACCAGCCCCCGGGGGTAAGGACGGAGCGCTGGGTTCTGTGTCTGCCCCTCTGCCAGCGCTGGGTGTGCACGCGCTGTGCTGTGCCCTGCCAGACTCCACCTGCTGGGTCCCCCCTTCTGCTTCTCCACCAGGGGTGTAGTTCCCAGGCTCTCTGGTCACCTGTGTTTAATCAGTCACAAGGAAGACTGGCCCCATGGGAATTTGCTGGGTTTGTCTGTCAACTACAATGTCTCTTAACTCGTGCCGCCTCTCTGTCCTGGTTGTTAGTACAAGATGAATTCCTATGGTGTGCACCCCTACTACATGGGCCTGGAGGAGGATGGCAGTGCCCACGGAGTGCTCCTGCTGAACAGCAATGCCATGGGTAAGCCTGTGCTAGTTACTCTCATTACTTTTGTGCACTGTTATTGCTAGAGTAACTTTAGAATATATTTCATTCAACTACTCTCGTGTTCAAAAATGTCATCTTGTAGGCATGATGTATCTTCTTTCTGTTTATATTTTCTGTTTCTTCCAGCCCACTAGCAAGTAGTAATATCTCACCCAACACTTATTTTGATAAATATCTACATAAGAAATGACAGAAAATGAGTTTCAAATATGTGGAAGTCAGGAAAGGAGAGCCAATTATAAGTCAATTACAGTGATTTCTGGGTACGAGGATTTGAAAAAATATCTGTGGCAATCTTAAAGGGAACCTCTGGTGTTTGAGAAAAGATAGTTATATAAAAACTGAGGTGAGTGCCTCCTGCTTCAGTTCTGTGTGGGTGTAGCTCCAAGTTCTGCAGCAGGGAGGAGAGCACAGGGAGATGGAGAAGGTGTGGATTTCTGGGACGATTGCTCACCTTGAAGGATTCCAGCATGGTCGGCATTTTCTGTATTGCAGATGTGACGTTCCAGCCCACGCCCGCCCTGACGTACCGGACCACAGGGGGAGTTCTGGACTTCTATGTGTTCTTGGGGCCCACTCCAGAGCTTGTCACTCAGCAGTACACCGAGGTAGGAGGGAGTCCGCTGGCTGCCAAGTGTCAAGTTTGGCGCATTCTGTGTGCCAAACCCATGTTCATAGGAGCAACTCTCAGGTGGATACCTGGAATTGTTAGTCCTTTTTAGAAAAAGGTAGAGTATAGGTTAAGAAGAAATAAATATAAGAATGCTTAAATTCATAGCTTCTATAGGCACTGGAGAGAAACAGGTGTGGTAGTGTTACTATTAATGATGGCAGTCATGATGGTGATGATTATAGAGCGATGGATGGTGGGCGTGTTGTTTTGGTGGTGGTGATGGTTGGGGAGAGATGGTGGTGGTAGTGGTGATGGTGGTGGTAGTGGTGGTGGATTGATGGCAGTGATGCTGGAGGATGGTAGTGGTGGTGGTGGAGGTGGTGACGTTGTTGTTGGTATGGTCTTTGGTGTGGATTAAAAGTTAAGTGAAAGTGGTAGAGGTGATGGCAGTGGTGGTACTGGTGGAAGTGATAGTGTTGATTATGTTGTCATCGTCAGGGTGATAGTGACGGTTGTGACTGTTGTGGCACAACACACACCCCTATGTAATGCTTATTGTATTTCACTTCTCCGCTACTTACTGCATGCCAAAGCACATTTCATTATGAGGGTCCTTCAGTGGGTTCATGGAAAATGGCGTTAAAAGGTAAGTTCATTTTGGTGTAAAAAATTGATATCCATGCATGCTTTATTGTATGCATTTCCTATGGACTTTTTGAAGACTGTTCATTTGCATATATTTCAAAATATTTTTGCCCCAATGTAAGTTGTTTATCTTATAATTCCATTTCCATTTACTTATCAAGTAGCTGCATATCAGTTTACTAAGTTTACAGAAAAACACCATGAGCTGATACTATTTTATGCCCAAGTATACACGTAAGAAATTAATGAGCAAAGTGGTCACTTAAATTTCACTCAAGTTTGTAGTCAGCAGGACCTGGAGCCTGAATGTTAAACCAAAATGGTTGCATCTGGAGTCTGAGAAGTGAGGTAGACCACTTCTAGACATCAGAGAAAAATCAGATTTCCCATAATTCTCAGAGAAGGAACTCAAGGTTAGCGGGGATTTCTCTCCATGGTATCTCAAGGGCTCTGAATCACCTCCGTTTCTCTCTGGATTTGAATGTGTTAATTGTTGAGCTAGGAACACTGAAAAATATTCTATCACTTCATACAGAACTTTAATCCAGTTTCTGCTTCTTGAGGACTAATACTTGGTGTCTACTTCCCAGGTGATTGGCCGTCCTGTGATGGTGCCTTACTGGTCCCTGGGCTTCCAGCTGTGTCGCTATGGCTATGAGAATGACACGGAGATTGCCAACCTGTATGATGACATGGTGGCGGCCCAGATCCCCTATGTAAGTTCTCAGTGCTGGGGCCTGGTTCTGGACCTCACACTCACCCAGGGGTCTCTGTATCTGGACCCTCTGTGAGAGTTTTACAAAGTTGTAGAAAGATACAAAATGCTTTCTTACGCAATGTCACACTGTTCCTTACCTCAGCACAGTAATACAAATGGAAGTTCATGTCTCCTTACAAAGATGGAGCTCAAACATTCACAGTGGTTTGCAAAAGGAGGAGATCGGGCTGGCTCCATCACTCTTTCTGCTACATTGTGCTTCTTTCCATTTCTTTTATATGACATCAAAACATCTAGTCAAAAAATCCTTGATTCCATAAAAATGAAAGGTTTACTAAAACAAGAGTAGGGAACCTTTTTTCTTTCTCTTCCTTTTTTCAAAAGATGTATTTATTTATTTATGTATTTATTTGAAAGTCAAAATTACAGAGAGGGAGAGGCAGAGAGGTGGAGAGGCAAAGAGAGAGAGAGAGAGAGAGAGAGAGAGAGAGGTTTTCCATCTGCTGGTTCACTCCCCAAATGACTGCAACAGTTAGGGCTGGGCCAGGCCAAAGCCAGGAGCCAGGAGATTCTTCCAGGACTCCCACATGGGTGCAGGGGCTCAAGATCTTGAAACATTATTCGCTACTTTCCCAGGCCCATTACTAAGGGAGTTGGATTGTGGGCGACCTAGAAGAGGTTCCTGGCTCCTGGCCTTGAATCAGCCCAACTTTGGCTATTGTGATCATTTGGGGAGTGAACCAGCAGATGGAAGATCTTTCTCTGTCTCTCTCTCTCTCTCTCTCTCTCTCTGTAACTCTGCCTTTCAAATAAATAATAATTAACCTGCTATAGATTTATTGAATTTGAGTCCCACCTGCAATTGCCTTGACAGTGCCAGAACAAATGACTGCAGGCTGTACACAGATATTAAGTGTTGCTTAACTGGAGAACATTAACTCAGACTTAGCCATGGCTCTGAAGACATTTGTGAAGATGCAAGAAGGTCCTTAGTTCTAACTCTCTACTCATACTACAGCCCAGTGCTGCATCAGCTTGGAACAAATCACTGGTTGAATGAAGGAATTATGTGTCTGGTTCCCAAAAGAAATGTAGTGGAAACACATTCTAACAGAAAATACTTCAGTGGACCTCTTACATATTAATATAATTTCATTTAACTTTTTGATTGTTTATAATTATTCCATTAATAAAGCAAACAGCTTGCTATATTTAATAAAAAATAAGATATCAGTGTTTGATTATTCTTTAGATTGAATGTTGCAAAGCCCTTATGGGTTTTTGTTTTGTAGTACATTTACAATCCATGTTGTCTGCTGAATGAACACACATTCTGTTGTGTGGCTGAACGTTTGAAAAATTAGATGAATTTCCCGAATCTATACTTAACCCATAACTGAGATGTGGAAGCATATAAAGGAAGCTGTCTGTAACTCAGGGCGCCGTGGCAGAGGGCTGCTAGTGGAGCCTGGGCTTGGACCGCAGCAGCATCGGTGGCCCTGTGTCTCTCCCCAGGACGTGCAGTACTCAGACATCGACTACATGGAGCGGCAGCTGGACTTCACCCTCAGCCCCAAGTTTGCTGGGCTCCCAGCTCTGATCCAGCGCCTGCGTGGCGATGGGATGCGGGTCATCCTCATCCTGGTTGGTGCTCACGTGATGTCATGTGGGGAGGCTGATGGGCTGTGGGGGAGAAGGCCCTGTGCTGTCCTTCCTTCTGTGGAGTGAGCAGGAAATGGAAGCCCCACTAGGAAATGCATTTCCCTGGAGTCCAGAAACTACCACCCAGGGGACCCTAAGGCCTTCTCTCTGCAGGAATTCTCCTTTTTCATGTCCTTGTCATTGCCAGCTTTGGTTTTCGCAGCTGACTTGTGGTTTGATTTCAGGACCCAGCGATCTCTGGCAATGAGACGCAGCCTTACCCTGCCTTCACTCGGGGTGTGGAGGACGACGTCTTCATCAAATACCCAAATGGCGGCGGCATTGTCTGGGGAAAGGTATGAGCTGGGCAGTGATCTGCCAGTGCCCAGCCCGGGGTGGGTCATGCTATGTTTGTGCCTGTGGTTTTTTAGCCCTTTTAATTTGGACCTTGAGGGCAAAAGTTCTCACTTTTTTCAATCACTGTTAATACAGTTGAGGGCTTCTCATGCCTCATGGGGATCTACTTTATCTAGAGAAATCCTACATGATAATTAAAGTAGTATTTCCATTAGGTCCATGGCTTAAAGTTTCTTAGGAAATACTATGCAAGGAAACTGGACAGATGTGTTGATGTTGAACCTTTTTCTCTGCACAGGTCTGGCCTGACTACCCTGGTGTTGTTGTGAACAGCTCTCTGGACTGGGACAGTCAAGTGGAGGTAAGAGACCCCCTGTGGGTGTCGAGTGAAAGCAGGATTGCTAGGAAGTGGCAGCCATAACTCAGGGTACTGGACGTGCCCACACAATGGACGTGACCATAGCCAGGGAAAACGTTTATGGGACATGTCCTGGGAGTCAGTGTGTGTGGTATTCTACTCCCAACTTGGGCTCAGTTGTTAGCATTCGTGGGATATAGAACTCAGAGAGCTTACTTTAGTTGTCCATAGTTGTGGGTGACAGAGAAGGGACTTCAAGTCCAATTTTCAAATCCTGAAGACTCAGGGAATTTCTACAGGATGAAAACTCCAAGAAGTACATTTTTTTCTGTTTTAGTCCCTTGTTGTTGTCTTGGCTAATCCTTTGAAACAGCCTCTAACTTTTGTCTTTCGTGGTTGGGTCTTTTTTCTCTACATCTTTTTTCATCATCAGGCTTCTCCATCTTCACTCCTAAGTCTCCTGTGCCTCCCATTCTTCTTTGGGGCTCTCAACTTTCCCTTCACTTCTCAGTTTCCAACTTTAAGTTAAAATTACTTTCTTCTGGGTGCAGGTTCTTGCTTGAGATGGACCCAGGTTCACATTCTCTGCACCAGAATTTGTTCCCTGCTTCAGTAAGCACCTGCTGCTTGAATGAGTCTGTGGTTTCTTGCTGGTTGAGGAAATGTGCAGCCTCACTCTTGGTAGCGATGTGTGCCCAGTGGGCTGGTGCAGCTTCCTTGTGTTGTCGTTAATTGCTCTGATGATGGTATGCGTGGACACCCTTCTGCAGAGCAAGGGCCTTGCCTGGCCTCATCTAACTTTTCTTCAACATCAAATTTCCTTCCTGGGTAGGAAGGCAGCAGGGCGTATTTAGCCAATGCAGCCTCCCTAACAGAGCTGGGAAGGTGGGGGAAGATCTTGTCCAGAGTTGGAGAAACACAGAAGCTGGCCTCTGTGTCTGCAATGTGGCATAAATTGCCATGCCTAGAAGTTCCATTAGGATCAAGGATGAATCAGATAAATCGTTGTTTTGGTGAGCACAGCACAGAAGCTGTGAATTAAGGGATCAGCCACTTAAAATCGGGGAAAATGACCCATTTGGGAAGCTCTTTCCATGTAATAGAGGGTTGAAGCTGGTACACACGCATATGCCAGTCATCTGGAGCAGGACTGGCAGGAGGCAGGCCAGATTTCATGGATTATCTAGACGAATTTCTTTTCAGGGCAATTGGTAAGTCAGAGAGGGAAGGCAGATATTAAGAGAAATAGCATAGTTTGAGGACCTAGAGTTCAAGACTGGGATAGCTTCGATGGAGTAACAAGACTGAATGATACTGTGGTCCAGTGATGCCGTCACCTGGTGTTAAGCTCAGATCCCCTGAGTCCCAGAACCAGGAGGCAGCAACTGTACTCCCGATGTAAATGAGAAAGTCACACAGGGACCAGGCTGATGGCTGTTGGACTGTGTATCTATTCTCTGGCAGTAGATATAACAGGGAAAAAACAAGATCAAGTAGGGCAGGTTGCCAAGGCAGTGTTGTGTGTTGGGCCAGTAACACCTGAGATGAAGGGGCCAGTGTGTTAGAATTTGTGCTGACAGCGAGAGAGAAAAAAGCTAAGAGTGCAGTTTGCTCAAGCCTCGCATTCTTAATGTCACTGTTTTTCTAGTGAGTCAAGAACGTCACTTAGGCTCTGATGAGACTTTCATCTGTGGTATTAGACTTTGCATGAGATCTCAGATAGTGCCTGTCTACTGCCCAATATATGTGTTTGGGACAAATGGACTGTATTTAATTCTTACAGCAATACAGAGCTTATGCGGCCTTCCCAGACTTTTTCCGTAATTCAACTGTCAGCTGGTGGAAGAGGGAAATACAAGAAATGTACACCAACCCACAGAACCCAGAGAAGAGCTTGAAGTTCGACGGCTTATGGATTGTAAGTGTGTGTGTGTGTGTGTGTGTGTGGGTACACATGTGCATCAATGCATGTTTGTCTAACTCTGTGTAGTTAGACAGGAGTATCCCTGAGCTTTAGTCAAAAGGACTATAATCTCCCCCACACAGATACTGAACGCATTAGAGTGTCCCCCACACAGATACTGGACACGTTAGAGTGTCCCCCACACAGATACTGAACGCATTAGAGTGTCCCCCACACAGATACTGAACATGTTAGAGTGTCCCCCACACAGATACTGGACGCGTTAGAGTGTCCCCCACACAGATACTGGACGCGTTAGAGTGTCCCCCACACAGATACTGAACACGTTAGAGTGTCCCCCACACAGATACTGAACATGTTAGAGTGTCCCCCACACAGATACTGGACGCGTTAGAGTGTCCCCCACACAGATACTGAACACGTTAGAGTGTCCCCCACACAGATACTGAACGCATTAGAGTGTCCCCCACACAGATAGTGAACGCGTTAGAGTGTCCCCCACACAGATACTGGACACATTAGAGTGCACTTCCACACAGATACTGAATGCATTAGAGTGTACTTCCACAGAGAACCCTCCCTAAACCTGACACCTGGTACCTCACCTGAGGTTCCTGCTGTGAACCCTCACAGGAGATTACAATAAATACCTTGGACTTTTGCAATCTCCAACTTTGATGGAGAATTTTTTATACCTCTAGCTAGTTATGCTGTAGGGGGCGATCAGTCTCCTTAGGCAATTATTCTTTGGATTTGTTGAGCCTTATTGGACTTGCATCTACAGGGAGAACTGGGTATTGGATGATTATTCCTAACAACCTGGTCTTGAATTGACAAGTTGTACCTGCCTTGAAAAGTAAGCGGTGTCTGTGTTGACATTTCTAGGACATGAATGAACCGGCAAGCTTTGTGAATGGGGCAGTTCCTGCAGGCTGCACGGATCCCATTCTGAACCATCCCCCCTACATGCCACGTAAGGACCCTTGTTCCCCTCACTAGCAGAGCCATAGCCATTGAGAGCCCAGTGGCCAGGGTCTTGTCTGTTGGTGCTATGGCACTTTAAGTGGTTTTCTTACTTGGGTGTGTGCAAGTCCCTCGGCCCCATAGGGTGAATTTCTCAGATTTGTTCAGAGAGGTGATACCTGTTGTAATGTCTCCAAAGGACCCTCAAGACTGGATTTCTTAATGACCTAGGCTCACGTTAATTCCTTCAAGAGGTGTGTTGCCCGAGAATAGTATTGTTCCCTTGTCATGGAGTAGATGGACTTTGTAGCTAACTTGTGTTCAGTGTCGGCCCCAGAGCTGTGTGACTTCCCACAGATTATGTGACATTTCTGAATTTTGGTTTTCTAAAACATAAAATGCTGCCGACACTGTCCTCCTCCTAGCATTATGGTAATGATTATGAGATCATTTGCATGTTGAAATCTAGATCGGAGCCTGTCAAGCTCTGCTGACAGCCGTGCATTCTTCCCCAAACTTCTTTGTTCAATGCACTTGATGTTCAGAACGCTGCAGGTACCCTTGAGTCTCAGAGCAGAGGTGCTCCCACACCTCTGTTGAAGACGAGATGGACTCGTGCTGAGGTCAAGTTATCTAGGACCCAGGATCCAGTCTCTTGGAGAGAAGCACAAGACACCCGGGATCAGAGCTGGCTTTAACATCCCCGCATCTTCTCCCCCAGACCTGGAGTCCAGGGGCACCGGCCTGAACAGCAAGACCCTGTGCATGGAGAGCGAGCAGATCCTGCCAGACGGCTCCCGTGTGCGGCACTACGACGTGCACAGCCTGTACGGGTGGTCCCAGACCAGACCCACCTACGAGTGAGTCACTGTCTCCCTTCTCCACTGGGTGCAGCCTTCAGGTCAGCCAGTGATGGATGAAGCTACTTGTAGCAATTCCCATTTACTAAGCAAGCACTCATTGAGCCAGAGTCAGGACCTGTGCTTATAATTTGGAAGACAGATTTAAAGTGTTATCTGACAAATGGGTATCCCATAGTCCTATTACGTAGCAATGTTATAACCATTGTAAGAGTTAGCACAATACATTACTCACATGTTTATGGTGACGCAAGTATAAACAGACCTACTGCACTGGCAGTCAAATAAAAGTCTGGCATACACAGTTATGCACACTGTAGAATACTTGATAGTTATAATGAACAAGTATGTCACTGGTTTATATATTCAGTCTAATAATTTTTATCATTAAGTTTGGGGAGACGCACATGGAGATTTAGTGATCGTATACATTGCAGCAGCTGCTGTAATAGTTTTATTTACAAGTGACCAAGGGAATACATAGGACTGGACAGCCCTCTCCTTTATTTCAAAAGTGAACCATCCTTTTGGAAATTTTACTTTTGGCTTTTTTTTTTTTGTCAGATAGTCAATAGTTGCTCTAATGAATTATCACAAAACTATTTTTAAACAGATGTATTTATTTGAAAAGCAGAGTGACGGAGAGAGGGAAAGAGGCAGAGAAATAGAGAGCTCTTCATCTCTAGTTCATTACACAAGTGGCCCCAGTGGCCAGGCCTGGGTCAAGATGAAGCCGTGAGCCTGGAAGTCCATCTGGGCCTTTCACATATGAGGCAGGGGTCCAAGCACTTATTCTGCCTCTGCTTTCACAGTCACATCAGCAAGGAGCTAGATCAGAAGACTCGAGCTGGCACCCAATAAGGGATGCCAGTGAAGTGAGAGGTGTCTTAACCCACTCTGACACAATCTGGTAACACAAAGCCAATTCTCAGCTCAATGAATAATGCGCATTATCCTAAATAAAGTATTGTAAAGAAATTCACCTCTTCTCATTCCAAATATACAGGACCTAATACAGCGATGGTGAGACACTGTGTTCTGAGACGCATCACTAGGTGATTTCATCACCGTATGAACATCGTAGGGTGCACACAGGAACCTTGAGGCTCTATCAGTCACTCCACAGAATCTCTGGATGTACTCAGAGACGCAGCGAATGTGAGATACACAAGGCAGCCACTAGAGCAGCATACTGTTTTACCAGAGACATACTGTTTTACATTAGACTTATTTTTAAGAATTTGGAATATATTCTAAAATAATGACAGATGTATAGGATGTGAAATATATAAACTAGCAATATGTTCACTGATTATCAGAATTCAGAATTATGTGCTGTGTGTGTTGTGATATTATACTTCTGTTTGACAGCAGTGCAATAGAATTGTTTACATCTGAATTATTGCACACACATGATGAACACATTGTCCTGTGAAAATGATGCTTTGCTGTCACTCATTAAGGATTTTTGGGTTCTGTTGTAATTCGATGGCGTCACCATTACGTGGTCCATGAAGGCGAAAAGGACAGTCTCTGGCACAGAACTGCACTGGGGAGATAAATGGCAGGAATTAGGGGTTACTTGCTATTTGGGGGCAACCCAGTGAGTTTACTGCATGGTGACAGTCATGGTACAACACTGTGCAGAGACACACCCATGATAGCCATGTCCATGGTCTGGGAGGAGTCGGTGGGGGCCTCACGCTGGCTGATTTCCGTATCCCTGCAGCCATGCAGCAGACATCAGGGACCGTGTCCTGGGTTCAGGGCCCCGAGGGCAGGAGCTCTGTGCCTTTCCATCTCCTGCTCTGCCCTCAGCTCACCTCCTTTCCCTCCACCCAGAGCCGTGCAGGAGGTGACGGGACAGCGAGGGATCGTCATCACCCGCTCCACGTTCCCCTCTTCTGGCCGCTGGGGGGGACACTGGCTGGGAGACAACACAGCCGCGTGGGACCAGCTGAGGAAGTCTATCATTGGTGTGCAGCCTTGTGGCAGGGCCCCTGCTGGCAGGGAGGGGGCGGTGAGGGGAGCAGGAGGCAGGGCTCAGGGCCTGGTCTCACCCGCTCTGCTTCCCTTTGCAGGCATGATGGAGTTCAGCCTCTTTGGCATTCCCTATGTAAGTGTCCCTGGATCCCTCCTGCTGACCTGGGAGCTGGAGCCAGCGTTCAGAAACCCTCAGCAGGCCCCTTTTCTTGCTTCTCGGTTCAGACAGGAGCAGACATCTGTGGGTTCTTTCAAGACGCTGAATATGAGATGTGTGCTCGCTGGATGCAGCTGGGGGCCTTTTACCCCTTCTCCAGGAACCACAACACTGAAGGGACCAAGGTAGGGCATTCCCCCTCCATTTGTGAGCTACAATTAAAGCCATCTGTCATCCTAGGGCATATTTAAAATCCTTCAACCCTGTGTCTTCGTGAATCCAACTCCCAGTATCTTTAGATTATTCTTCTTATAGGCAGACTTGAACCAAGCAGATCCCAAGAAGAATGTCATCTAGGAAATTTTATTGTCTCCTGGGAAAGCTACAGGGACCTTTTGTAATGAATTAAGACTATTTTGAGGCTTATTGATAATTATCTTGATGTAGCTGTGTGTGTTCTGCATAAGGAATAAGCATTAAGTGGGTCCTTTAAGTACCTGAGACCGTCTAGGCTGAGCTCCTCACAGTCCTCTTCCTCTTTTGCAGAGACAGGACCCTGTGTCCTGGAACGCCACCTTTGTGAATCTTTCCAGAAGCGTCCTGGAGACCAGATACACCCTGCTGCCCTATCTCTACACCCTGATGCACAAGGCCCACGTGGAGGGCAGCACAGTGGTGCGGCCTCTCCTGCACGAGTGAGTGTCTAGTGGGACCTTAGTGAGTGGTGGGTGACTTCCTTCCTTCAATAGGGTGGCAGGGGAAGAAAATGATTCCTCTAGATTGTCGTAACTCCCTATACATAGATTACACGTTAGTATACCCTTTCTGTACTGTGTTCTCTATGGCATAAATCATTAACAAAAGTCACTTATTTTTTTTAAAAGATTTATTTATTTATTTGAAAGGCAAGGTTATAGATAGAGATGAAGAGACAGAGATCATCCATCTGTCGGGTCACTCCTCAGATGGCTGCAATGGCCAGGCCTGAGCCTGGCTGATGCCAGGAGCCTCTCTGGGTCTCTCTCATGGCTGCAGAAGGGCTGCAGTACTTGACCCATCTCCCTCTGCTTTCTACGTGCATTAGCAGGGAGCTGACCAGAAGTGGAGCAGAGGAGTCTCGGAGTGGCAGGTATATGGGACGCTGGCATCCCAGGTGGAAACTTAACCTGCTGTGCCGCAATGCCAGCCCAAGAAGTTGTTTCTAAAGAAACAAAAAATGGAAATAATCTATTCAGCACAGGATCACTTCTTTCAATTTGGCCAGCAAGGCCCACACTGGCATCTTTAGAAATTAGGTCACACATTGTCCCAGGTGCCAGTGAGCTCAGTTCACAAAGGAAGGCGTTTCTGTAGTGGAGTCCTGGGGGATGAGGGCCTTCCTGGCATTTAAACTGTGCCAAGGTAAAGACGTGTGCACATACTTTATAGCAGAGAACACAGCTAGATCTCCCCAGTTCTGAGGTTTGATGAGCATGTCCTAGGACAGATGGCTGTGGGCCTGTGTGTTCCTGAGTGAGCCAGGCCTAGGCCAGCAGTAAGGATCCTCAGGTGCAGCGGGTTCCTGGCTTGGGTCTGAGTTGAGGACTTCCTTCAGGGCTGGGCTGGGCTGGCTGGGCTGTGACTGTGGCCCCTTCCTGTCCTCTCCAGGTTTGTGTCAGACCGGGTGACCTGGGACATAGACGGTCAGTTCCTGCTGGGCCCGGCCTTCCTGGTCAGCCCTGTGCTGGAGCCTGTGAGTAGGGGGCCTCTGGTGGGCAGAGGGTCTCGGCTGTGAGGCTGGAGAACAGTGAGGGGAGAAGAGGCCTGGTGCCGGGTCCTGACACCTGCTTCTTGTCCTGTCTCTGTCTCTTCCTCTCCTTCTCAGCCTGTCACTCAGCGACTCCGGGCCTCAGGTTCTTCAGCTTTCAATTCAGCCCAGCAATTGTGGTTCTTAGGACAATCAAACATGATATGCTTGAAGATATAATCATTTCACCATTTACTGAAATAGGAATGAATAGGGTGGCAGTAATATCAATTTCTTTTTATTTAAAATTTTTTACTTATTAATTTTTGAGATAACTTTTTTTTTGACAAGCAGAGTGGACAGTGTGAGAGAGAGACAGAGAGAAATGTCTTCCTTTTTGCCATTGGTTCACCCTCCAATGGCCGCCGGATCCAGCGCGCTGCGACCGGCGCACCGCACTGATCCGATGGCAGGAGCCAGGTGCTTCTCCTGGTCTCCCATGGGGTGCAGGGCCCAAACACTTGGGCCATCCTCTACTGCACTCCCGGGCCACAGCAGAGAGCTGGCCTGGAAGAGGGGCAACCGGGACAGAATCCGGCACCCCGACCGGGACTAGAACCTGGTGTGCCGGTGCCGCAAGGTGGAGGATTAGCCTAGTGAGCCGCGGTGCCAGCCGAGATAACTTTCTTTTTAAGTTTTAAAATTTTTATTAACATAAAGGAACAGCATTCATGTATTTCATAAGTACAGTTCTAAAATGATAACCATAATCTATCTCCCTCTCGCTCCCCCAACCCCCATCCTTCTCTTCTTTCTTTACTTATTGAATTTTTTTTTTTAACAGGCAGAGTGGACAGTGATAGAGAGAGACAGAGAGAAAGGTCTTCCTTTGCCGTTGGTTCACCCTCCAATGGCCGCCGCGGCCGGTGCTGTGGCTGGCGCACCGCGCTGATCCGAAGGCAGGAGCCAGGTGCTTCTCCTGGTCTCCCATGGGGTGCAGGGCACTGCACTTCCGGGCCACAGCAGAGAGCTGGCCTGGAAGAGGGGCAACCGGGACAGAATCCGGCACCCCGACCAGGACTAGAACCTGGTGTGCCGGTGCCGCTAGGCGGAGGATTAGCCTGTTGAGCCGCGGTGCCGGCCTACTTATTAATTTTTACAAAGCGTAATTTTAATCTACTCTATAGTCCCAGGCTTAGTTCACCACTAACCATAATATTCACCAAATAAAAAGTAGGAAGAGCACAGCTGCACAGAAGTGTAACAAGGGCTGAAAATGATAATTGCATCACCAGATATCTGCTCCCTTCCTGTACAGGTTTTGTATTCTGTATTAACTGTCACATGTCAGAGAAAATATATGATATTTATCAGAAAAGAGCCTTCCAGTAGAAAAACAGGCAAGGGCTATAAACAGTAATCAATTGAAAAGGTGTTTCACTTTCATATAAAGTAAATTTTACAGTAGCCACAAAATCATTAATACTATGGTAGTATATAATTCTTATCAATGTGCTGGACCAACATTTAAAACAAAGTTTGACAAAGCACTGTATTTACAAAAAACTGATAGACAGGCATCCATCTTCCTCCTTCCTTCCTTCCTTTCTCTTCTTTCTTCCTTCCTTCCTTCCCTCCTTCCTTCCATTTTAACTACCACTTTTAAGGGAGAACATGCAGTATTTGTCTTGCTGTCTGGCTTTCCACTCAGCATATGTCTTCTAGTTCTGACCATTTTGCAGCAAATGTTAACATTTCAATATTTTTAATGGCTGAATAATATTCCACTGTGTTTCTATGTGACAGTTTCTTTATCCACCCCTCTGTTCATGGAACCCTTGGTTGACTCTACATTTTGTGTGTTGTGGACAGTGCTGCCACAGACATGGCAGAGCAGGTATTCATATATTTTGGGCACATACCCAGCAGTGGCATCGCTGGAGCATACAGCAGGTCTGTTGTTGGTAGATTTCTGCATGTGAGCCATTCTAACTGGGGTGAGGTAAACCCCATTGTGGTTTTGATCTGCATTTGGGGCATTTGTATTTCTCCTTTTGAAAACTGTTCAGGTCCTTTGCCCATTACTTCATTGTTTTTTGTTGTGGAATTTTTTGAGTTGCTGAGATATTCTGGATATTAAATATTTCTTTGCATTCCCCAGTAAATCACTATTGAAACAAATCTTTTCAGTGGAATGGCTTGCAGCAATAAGTGCCATCTTTGCCGATGGCTGGCCTTTCGCTTCCTTCCGCTACAGGCTCTCCAGGAAGCAAGAGCTGTTTTTCTCTGTTTTATCTTTTAAAATATTTATTTACTTGCTTGAAAGGCAGAATTGCAGAGAGGGAGAAGGGAGGGGACAGAGAGAGAGGAAAGAGAAAGAGAGAGAGAGAAAGAGAGAAAGAGAAAGAGAGAGAAAAAAAGAGAGAAAGAGAAAGAAAGAGAGAGAGAAAGAAAAAGAGAAAGAGAGAAAGAGAGAAAGAGAAAGAGAGAAAGAGAGAGAGAGAAAGAGAGAGAAAGAGAGAGAGAGAGAGAGAGAGAGAGAGAGAGAGTCTTCTGTCTGCTATTCCATGCCCCAAATGGCTGCAGTTGCTGAGCTTGGTCCACTGCTAAGGGAGGAGCCTGGAACTCTGTCCAGGTCTTCCGCGTGGGTGGCAGGGGACCAAGCACTCGGGCCATCTCCCCCTTCTTTCCAGGTGCACCAGCAGGGAGCTGAGTTGGAAGTGGAGCAGCCAGGACTGGTACTAGTGCTCACAGGGGATGCCAGCCTCATAGGCAGTGGCTTCAGCTGCCGGTGATTTGGCTTCTGGTTGAAATACCTGCTTAGTGCACTCTGCCAACTCCCATTGCACCTGTGCAGGTAGCCTTTGCTGCAGAAGTCAGGATGCCCTTGGAGAACCTGCGTCCCGTTTCCATGAGCCTGGTTTGAGTCGGGCTCCTCTGCGTCTGACCCAGCTTCCTGCTTATGTTCACCCTGGGAGGCAGCCAGCGATGGCTCACGTACATGGGTTCCTGATACTCACATAGGAAAACGAGAGTGAGCTCTAGGTTTCTGGCTTTAGGCTTGGCCCATCCTGGACAAACATTCTCTCTCTCCTTCTTTGCATTTAAAATGGAATAAAAATTAAAGCACAATTTTATGGTATCTGGAGAATTTTTTTTATCTCCCACGCAAACTCAGTTTTTTTAATCTCTTTAAAGAAGGGATGGAGTCAGTCAATCAGTAAATGGTGATTCTTGTTCTTTGAAGTCTTGGAAAGGACAGGAGGCTTCATGGAAGCCACTCATAGGCGGGAGACAAGTCTCTCCCATTCCCAAAGGAGAAGGGAAGGAAGGTTCCCCACATTGCTCACCTGAATGGAGATCCAAGTGTGTCTTAGGCTAGCACTGTGGTTTTAACTCTTTTCTCTGCTGTTTACTCTGCCCTAGATAACTGTGCCCACCAACCACGCCTTATCTGTGCTTAATTCCAGAATGCCAGAGAAGTCACTGCGTATTTCCCTGAAGACCGCTGGTATGACTACTACACAGTAAGTTTTGGTATATGTGTATGCAGCTTGGGAGAGCGGTGGACTACGGAAGCTTTGATGGGACAGACCTCAGGACAAAGCCTGCCTCGGATGCCACCTGTTTTATGGTCTCAGCCCCACTGTTTTAAACCTTGTCCTACAGCTATATCACCTCCAGATGGGGTCAGACCACTTCCCTCATCACAGGGCTGCGAAACAACTCAAAACACAGCACAGTCAGTGCAGGCCGCCCACGGTCTATACCACGGTGCAGTCAGTGCTGGCCGCCCACGGTCTATACCACGGCGCAGTCAGTGCTGGCTGCCCACGCTCTATACACAGTGTGGTCAGTGCTGGCTGTGCACGGTCTATACTGCGGCACTGTCAGTACTGGCTGTGCATGGTCTATACCGCAGTGCAGTCATGCTGGCTGCCCGTGGTCTATACCGTGGTGCAGTCAGTGCTGGCCGCCCGCGGTCTATACTGCGGCACTGTCAGTGTTGGCTGTGCAGTCTTGCTGGCCGCCCACGGTCTATGCCACAGCACAGTCAGTGCTGGCTGCCCGCACTCTATACACAGTGTGGTCAGTGCTGGCTGTGCACGGTCTATACTGCGGCACTGTCAGTACTGGCTGTGCATGGTCTATACCGCAGTGCAGTCTTGCTGGCCGCCCACAGTCTATGCCACAGCACAGTCAGTGCTGGTTGCCCATGCTCTATACACAGTGTGGTCAGTGCTGGTTGTGCACGGTCTATACTGCGGCACTGTCAGTACTGGCTGTGCATGGTCTATGCCACAGCACAGTCAGTGCTGGCTGCCCATGGTCTATACACAGTGTGGTCAGTGCTGGCTGTGCGCGGTCTATACCACAGCACAGTCGTGCAGGCTGCCCACGGTCTATACCGCAGTGCAGTCTTGCTGGCCGCCCACTGTCTATACCTGTGTTTCTTCATCTTTCCTTGTACCATCTCTCTTCAGAGTAGTCCATAATGGCGGATACTACTGAACATGTGAAGTACTGCTGTAACTTCAGTTTTTAAGCTTAATTTTTAGAAAAGATTTACTTGAAAGTCTGAGTTACAAAGAGAGAATAAGAGACAGTAAGAGGTCTTCCATCCACTGGTTCACTCCCCGAATGGCTGCAATGACTGGGGCTGGGCCAGGCTGAAGCCACAAGTCAGGAGCTTCATCTGAGTCTCCTACGTGGGTGCAGGACCAAAGCATGTGGGCATCTTATCCGCTTTTCGCAGGCACATTAGCAGGGAACTGGATCAAAAGTGGAGCAGCTGCGACTTGAATCAATGCCCATACGGGATGCTGGTGTCTCTGTTGGCTGCTTTATACACTATGCCACAACACTGGCCCGTAACCATAGTTTTTGTTTGTATCCTTACATGCTGTCAGTGCAAAAGTATGGAGGCCTTGTCCTCTCTGTGCTTTGGCTAAATGCCTTCTGGAGTAACATGGATACCACTGCATGGGTTTATAGAGAACCTGCAGAGGTGAATGAAAGCGTTTTCTACCTCCTCCAGCAGTGAGCGCTCTGTGACAAACAGGTGATCGAGCGAGGGTAGCTGAGCTCCAAGATAACATTTTAAGTTGTGTGAGCTGTAAACCCCAGACTGAAGGGTCTTGTACAAGATGAGGCAGCCATAATGCACATTTCATTCAGCAACTGGGAGAATGAGGGGAATGCTGTGACTGACGTGTTCAATGTTGAAATGCAGGCCACGTGTTTAGAGGTATGGACAAGGCGTCTGGCACAGTGCGTTGTTGTACCCTGTCTCTCACCATTTTGTATTTCCCTCTGCCCACAGGGTGCGGATGTTAATGCAAAGGCCCAGTGGAAGGTCCTGCCCGCCCCTCTTGACCACATCAACCTTCACGTCCGTGGCGGCTACATCCTGCCCTGGCAGGAGCCTGCGCTGAACACCAACCAGAGGTGAGCGTGGACTGGGGTCCCCTTCCCACAGCAGTTAGTGCACCGCTCTGTAATGAAGCCCAGCGGTGTGGAGGCATGGACGCTTACTGGTGATGGATGGAGTATTTCTATCTCCTGTGACACTATTGACACCAGAGAAAGATGTGCCTGGTGGTACTGCCTCTGTTCCTAGCAAAAAGCCCTGTATTCTGCTCTTGACCGTCCCCTTTTGAAATGTGAAAGAAGCATTCAAAGGTGATTTAGGGAAAAATTATTTGTGCCTCCAGTCTATGTCTCTCGTATAAATGTGTTTCCCACAGTCGGCAGAATGCTCTTGGTCTCATCATCGCCCTGGATGACAACAAAGAAGCGAAAGGTGAACTCTTCTGGGATGACGGAGACACCAAAGGTGAGCCCTGGGGTGAGAGTCACTGTTTCTAGTCCTGTGTCTTTGCCCCATGGGCATTCACTGCTGAAGGTCCTCAGCCGTGGGAGAAGTCACAGCAGACATAATAGCAAAGGGGCTCAAAAGAAGAATCTTGTTTCTTGTTGCACCATTCAGGGGCACTGGTAGGTGAACCAAACATGGAAGAAAAACCCGTTCTATCTGTTGAAACTCCCCTCATAGGCCAGCGACACACATTATATACACATAGGTTTCATTTCATCGTCAATAGGCACCTGGAAGACATGTTTTCAAGATTATCCCTACAATTCCATATCTGGATAGTCTTTCTAAAAATAGTTAATGAAATGAAAAATATTTATTTATCAAGTAACACTGAATATATTCAAGGTATACAATGTGACCTTCTGATTAATTAGTTAATTAGTACTTCCATGACTATTACTGCACATTAGATGCCTAGAATTTGCTCATCTTAAAACTGAAAGTCTGTACTCTTCAACCATCAGCTCCCCGTTTGCCTAACGTTTCAGTCCCTGGCAACCCCCATTCTGACCTGTTTTACTGATTTTTTTTTTTTTTTTTGTGATTCCACATGTAAATGAGATCATGCCATATTTGTGTTTCTGTGTTTGGCTTATTTTACTTAAAATAGTGTATAGGTTTTTCCATGTTGTCACAAATTCCATTTCTTTCTTTCTATGGTGGCATACTATTCTATTTCCTGTATTTACCACAACTTCTGTTCCCACTGCTTTGTTGTCAGGCATGTCATTTCTGTATCTTGGTGATTGTACAAATATATTTCTATAAGGCTTGGGAGCATACTGGTATTTACACATCAGAAGTCTTGTCCTTGTTTGAAAGCCTTTTTTGGGGGGGTGTCTTTGGTCTTGTGAATGAGGGGAGACACGCAGAAGCAAACGTGGGGGTAATTATATATCCATAGTATTTGCTTTAGTTCCATTATCTCCCAACCCTCTCTAGGGGCAGCTCAGGGAGGTTTTCCCTACCTTGCACCCAGTGGGTATTGGGTCCCGTAGGAAGTTCTGGGAGGAATTTCAGGAAATCCACATCTAGAAAACCTTCTACTCAACAATATTCCACAAGAGGGAAAGGGGAGGCGAGACGCAGGGCCAGAGCCATATTCGTAAAATCTCTAATCTGAATGCAGCCGGCTAGGCTCCCAGTTCTTCCTGACATGTCTCCTGGTCTGTCAGGTGCATTCTCTCCATTATGTCTTGCTACCCTGCTTACCACTAAAAAGTACATTTAAAATTAAAAAGTTAAATATAAGGGCTGAATCTAAATTCCAAGAAGAAAACAAAGTAAAGCAATTTCCTTGTCATTACTCTTTGCAATAATTTTTTGATATGACTTCCAAAGCACAGAAAAAAAATGAGACTGCCAGAAAATAAAAAAAAAAAAACTTCTGCACAACCAAAGAAAAATTCAGCAACGAGAAGTCAATTTACTGAATGGGAGAAAATATTTTCTCCAGAAAAAGCCATATACTTGTATCTGAGAATGGACTAATATAAAAAATGTATGAGGATCTCATATGACTCAGTGGCAAAAAACCCTGAATACCCAATTTAAAATGGGCAAAATGACCAAATAAATATTTTCAAAGAAGATAAGGAAATGCCCAACAGATACTTGAAAATGTGAATGATATTGTTATCAGCAGAGAAATGCAAATCAAGATGAGCTATAATCTAACTGCTGTCAGGATGGCTACTATAAAATAAGGTATAATAAATGTTGGTGGGGGTCTGAGGAAACGGAAATGCTACAATTTACCGGTGTACATTGGTACAGTTGATGTGGGCTAGGTTGGCTCTACATTCCTATTCCAGGTTCTTGCTTCTTACTTAGAGAAACATTTTAATACAGGCACAAATACAATGCACAAAGTGATAAAGTTTATTTAAAAGGTAAGGAAGACACACACATGTGGGCGTTGTTCAGGAAGAGTGGGCCAGGAAGGGATTTCAGTACCCTGCTTGCTGTGGGGCCACTTGAAGAGAGAGAGAGAGAGAGAGAGAGAGAGCTCCCTCCATTTTGCTAAGATTATTATGAGCTTGGAAAGTGGAGGGGTAGCAGGGTGCCACCCAGGTCAGGGGAGATACATCCTGGGGAAGGGGTCATTTGACTGACAAGTGGGTGGATAGGATTACATGGGGTGGGGGAGATGTGGCGTCCAGCTCCTGATCCTAGTCTACCTACCTGCTGTACCCATATCAGAGCCACTGGGGAAAACAGAACGGAGGTTTCTTAAGAAGATGCATCTATACCTCCATGTTCACTGCTGTACTGTTCATAAAAGTCAAGATATGAAATAACATCCACTGATACATGAACATAATTCAGCCAGAAAAAGACAAAAATGCTGCCATTTGTGACATCCAAATGTAGCCTGAAAGAGAGGCGGAGTAAAATCTTTCTGTGGAGGGCAGTCCAGTCTGACTTTTCTCTCTGTCACTTGCAGATACTGTGGCCAATAATGTTTACCTCTTATGTGAATTTTCCGTCACCCAAGTGAGTAGCTGATTTTTATGAATCTCAGATATAGACTTTGTCAGGCCATTAGCACATATGTGTGTGTGTGTGTGTGTGTGTGTGTGCTCTTCTATTTGAAATTTCATATGGACATATTAGACCTGTTTCCATGTAGCTTCCGAGCATGGAATCATTCATATCATCAAAAGGAGGCAATCATGTACATGTAGATAAACCGAAGTAGCTAGCATTTATAATGACAGTTTTTAAAAATGTGTGTATTGATTTTTTTTTTTACTCAGAGGATGATTAACCTGAATTTATTCCTTGAGAACACATTAATAGGGCTGAAGGTTTTTCAAAGTTGCAGGGACCATCGGGTCTAGCTTGAAATACCTGAGTGACTTCAGAAATCTATGTAGGGCATGCGTGCCTCTGTGGTTAATTGTCCTTGATTGTTTTTGCAGAACCACTTGGATGTGAAGATCTCACAATCAACCTACAAGGACCCGAATAATCTAGCATTTAAAGAGATTAAAATCTTTGGATCACAGGAACCTAGCAATGTTACAGTGAAACACAATGGGATTCTAACTCAGATGGCTCCCAAGGTCACTTATGATTATAACCTGAAGGTAAAATTCCATAATGCTGATGTAGTTTGTCAAGAATCCTTTGTAACACAATGGCATTCCTGTTTGCCAAAGCAGGATGAGTTCTGGCAGAACCAGAGCACACTCTGAGACTTGTGTGGTTGGTTGAGGGGCTGGAAGAAGAACCGAGCTTAGCAAGTGGCCAGAGCCAAGATGATCTTGGGAACATGCATGGAAGGGGGCTAAGGTGCATTGATCTGTCCACGCCAGTTCCCTTCCCTACCCCTCAATGACTGCGCTCCCTGACTTGACATTCACAGAAATGAAAATCGTAGGACACAGAAGAGCAGGGTTAGTTAGGAAAGTGAGGAACAGGATTAGATGGAAAGTGTATGGGAAAGCTGCTGGGTGATGCTGGAAACATAAGGGTGAGAGGTAGCGGTCCCCAGATTAACACTTCGAAGTGCCTTGTGTTTTTAAAAATATTGGGATATGAAGTATATGACTTACTCCAATACCATGTGTGAAATAAATATCTTAAGAAAGGAATTTTGTAATAATATTGAATGGGTAGGTATTTTGTTAGGTGATAATAATATAATATTTTTCATCAGTTATTATGGGACTTGACATCATGAAGTACTTGTAAGCATTCATTATTTATGAGAAATATTTCCCTTGATAGTCCTAAGCGCAGGTACTCCAGTAACCCAGCACTGGGGACACCGGGTCCCCAAGATTCTTGAGTGACATTCTAAAGTTTGGGAAAATGAGTCACTTTTTTCAGATTTATTTATTTATTTGAAAGGCAGAGTCACAGAGAGGCAGGGAGAGAAAGAGAGAGACAGACAGACAGAATCTTCCACCCTCTGGTTCACTCCCCAAATAGCCAAATGGCCAGAGCTGGGCCTGTCTGAAGCCAGGAGCCAGGAGCTACTCTGGGTCTCTCATGTGGGTGCAGGGGCCCAAGGACTTGGATTGTCTTCTGCTGCTTTACCAGCTGCATGAACAGAGAGCTGGGTCAGAAGTGGATTAGCTGGGACTCGAACCAGCTCCCATATGGAATGCTGGGACTGCAGGTGGTGGCTTTACCCACTGTGCATACAATGCTGGCTCTGAAAACAAGTCACTTTTAGCTTCTACTATAGTGACAAATAGATGACATTTATAATTTGTCTGGGCAACACTGTGAAGGTTTCTTTCTTTTTTTTTTTTTTTTTGACAGGCAGATTTAGAGAGAGAGAGGGAGAGAGAGAAAGGTCTTCCTTTTTCCGTTGGTTCACCCCCAAGTGGCCACCACGGCCAGCACATTGCGGCCGGCGCGCTGTGCCGATCCAAAGCCAGGAGCCAGGTGCTTCTCCTGGTCTCCCATGCGGTTGCAGGGCCCAAGCACCTGGGCCATCCTCCACTGCACTCCTGGGCCACAGCAGAGAGCTGGACTGGAAGAGGAGCAAACAGCACAGAATTTGGCGCCCCAACCGGGACTAGAACCTGGGGTGCCGGTGCCGCAGGTGGAGGATTAGCCTAGTGAGCCACGGTGCCGGCCCCTGTAGAGCTTTCTGACAAAGTGTTAGAGACCCCCTAGTATATGGGTGGCAAGGGGTGTGTCTAAGTGCAACACTTTTGAAAGATGCATTTGAGAAAAAAAAAAAAGCTCTGTAGACATCTGTCATTGACTCCACTCCTGTAAGACCAAAGGAGTGCATTTGTTTGCTGAATTTGGGAGGCAGGGAGACAATTTATACACAGAAATCTATCCTGAAGGAGGCAGGGAAACCAAATCAACATATAGGAAATGGTAACATATTCTTAATTGAGTATTCAAAGTTTAAGAAAAGAGAGGAGCAAAACCTCAGTCCAGAACTAGGCCCAGGACAATAGTGTCTCAGTTAGGCATTCGTGAACTACAGGTGACAGGAAACCCCAATTGGTTGTTATTGATTGGGGATTTTTTTCCCCTTTCTGCAGTAAGAAATTTAGAAGGTGAGGCCGGCACCGTGTTTCACTAGGTTAATCCTCTGCCTGCGGCGCCGGCACCCAATATGGGCGCCGGATCTAGTCCTGGCTATTCCACTTCCAGTCCAGCTCTCTGCTGTGGCCCAGGAGGGCAGTGAAGGATGGCCCAAGTGCTTGAGCCCCTGCACTCGTATGGGAGAACAGGAAGAAACTCCTGGCTTCTGGCTTCGGATTGGCACAACTCTGGCCGTTGCAGCCATTTGGAGAGTGAACCAAGGGAAGGAAGACCTTTCTCTCTGTCTCTCTCTCTCACTGTAAACTCTACCTGTCAAGTAAATTTTTAAAAAAAAGAAATTTAGAAGGTAGAGAGTAGCTGACATTGGTTCAGTGGCTCAAGTATGTCAACTAAGATGTTGCTTTCTCTTGGGATTTGAAGTGTTTTTTCATTCCAGTCATTATGTGTCATAATATAAATGAAAAAAAATAATATAAATGAGAGATAATTAAATCACAAAGACAAACACTTGGCTAGCAATGCTCAGTGGATTTGAACTTACCTTTTAATGTTCACATCTACATTGCATTGATTAAAAATTGAGCTCTTGATGGCAGTTGGGTATTCTAAACTGAAATAGTGAGTAAGAGAAATATTTTGTATGGAGCAGGCATCTACATGTGTATTCTTCAAATGGGCTAATTTTAGTAGAAAGGGCATTTGCCTAGGTAAAGCTTTCTAAGGTGAGGTATCAGAATAGCTCAACCTAAGCTGTAAGAATAGACTTACGTTATTATTCAATTAATTTTATGGAACTAGCACAGCTAGTATCCACATTTGCAATGGGATCAGCTAAAATAGGAAATTTATGGATAGATTTTTGAGATCTCAGATGCCAAAATGAATTCATGCTTGACTTCTTCTCCAGGGGTCTCATGTTGATCCTTGAATCAAGACTGTGCCATTGTGGGAACTCTGGATGATGAAGGGAGGCAGATTAATAGGACAAGGATGTGCAAGGCGAGAGAGAATGGGAGACTGGTACCAGGGTAATAACTCTTAGAATGCAATTTTATCATTGCAAATGAGCAAAAACTTTGTGCAGAATTCAACTTATAGAAGAAATTAAAACAAGGAAGCTACAAAATAATAGTATTGTGGTATAGCAGTGTAAACCTCTGCCTGTGCTGCCAGCACCCTATATGGGTGTGGTTTGAGACCGATTTGCCCCACTTCCCATCCAGCTCCCTGCTAACGTGCCTGGGAAAGCAGCAGAAGGTGGCCCAAGTGCTTGGGCCCCAGCACCTATGTGGAGACCTGGGAGAAACTCCCGGCTCATGGCTTTGGCCTGCCCAGCCTTAGCTGTTGTGGCCATTTGGGGAGTGAAGCAGTGGGCAAAGGATCTCTTTCCCTCTGTTTCTCTCTCTCTCTCTCTTTCTCTCTCTCTGTTTCTGTGAGTGTGTTTGTCTCTCTCTCCACTTCTCCTCTCTCTGTAGCTCTAACCTTCCAACTAAATAAAAAATTAAAAATAAGAAACCCAAAATAATAGTAGTAAAATATTTAATAGAAAAATATTGAATGTGTGAATTGTTGGGATTTAGTAAAGGTTTCAAGTTTTGAGTTTTGGGACTTGGAGAAATGAAAGGGCTGTTAAGTTGGAAATGCAAGGAAAGTTCATGATTTTGCTGTTCTATTGATTTTATAAATGATTAAACTGAGATCCCAAAATGGAAATAATTTGTTCAGAAATGGGGTGGGGGGGAGAACCCAGGCCATGTGATTCTCATGGCTGCACACTGGTTTGAGGAGAAGGGAGTAGGACTCAGCTCAACTTGGCCTGCAGGAGAGTGAATTTCTGACTACATCACGAGGGGAAAGAGGAGTCAGGGTAGGAAAGAAAAGGGCTGTTCATTGCAGGTTTCATTTGACCTAACTCTCCCACACTGTGACGTACAAGGTTCTGACAGAGAGGGAGATGTGTGCACCTGCGTCCTTCAATCCAGCGTGCCTACAGCTCTCCACCTCAGTCACAATCTTGTGTTCCTTGTAAGGCAGAGAATCTGGCCTGATGTCTACTTCACGTTTTAGTAAGATGTTTGTTCTGTGGATGACTGTCCTTGTGCCTTTCCATTCCCACAGGTGGCTGTTATCACAGAAATTGACCTTGCCCTGGGAGAAGCGTACACGGTGGAGTGGACCTTGACGACGAGGGATGAGGAAAAGATCGACTGCTATCCTGATGAGCAGGGAGTTTCTGCAGACAACTGCGTTGCCCGTGGCTGTGTCTGGGAGGTAACCAGGCGGGTGGTGCTATCACGCCTTAAAACCTCTCTGCTTACTCTGCACTTTCATCTTGATAGCTCCCGTACCTCTGCTTAAAATCCATCAAATGAGCTTCCAGCAGAAACTGGTTTGGCTGTAAAGAGTAGGTGGGGCTAGAGGTGGGATAAATTGCATAACTATGTTGCTTGGTGACTGGGAATTTAAATATGTGCCCCTGCCAAATGATGTATAAGTGAATGAGTGGCGGACTGGCTTTCTCTCCCCATGCATTGCGTGTCCCCACTGTTTCTCTTGGCTAGTTCCCGGACCACATGCTGATCCAACACTGGCCTTCTTTTTCAGGAATCCGCTTCTCCTGGGGTCCCTTTCTGCTACTTCGTCAATGATCTATACTCGGTCAGCAATGTTCAGTATCACTCAGATGGAGCCACTGCCGACATCTCCCTAAAGTCCTCTGTTGAAGCCAACGCCTTCCCTTCCACACCCGTGAACCCCCTGCGCCTGCAAGTGACCTACCACAAGAATGAAATGCTGCAGTTTAAGGTAAGCCCGGCGTCTGCATCAGAGTTTATTTTGGGACCCCCTGTTTGAGGTATCTGTGAAATAGTTACCAAAGGGCCACGACTTCTTTTTCTTTCATGGTTTCATTACAAGAGTTAAGGGAGGACTAGCAGTTCTTATGTAAATTCCTGTATTAATCTGTAAGCTTCTCAAAGACAGGAAGTTGTCTTTTTACATTGGTGTATCTGAACAGAACTTGAAAATTGAAAGAGCTGCCATATTTGTTGAGAAAGCAAATGAACACGGTGAGGCCAATGTGTCGTTGTCTGAAAGATTCTTCACAATCTGGGGTCACCAAACCTTATTCCCCCACCTGCACCCTTGTCTAACACCTGTTCCCTCTGGCCTAGATCTATGACCCCAACAACAGTCGGTATGAGGTCCCAGTCCCTCTGAACCTACCCGGGGTTCCAGCCAGCAGCCCTGAGAGTCGGCTCTACGAGGTCTCCATTGGGGAGAACCCATTCGGGGTGGTGATTCGCCGCAAGAGCACAGGCGCTGTCATGTAAGTGCTGTCCTGGGAAAGCCAGCTGCTCGGGGCCCCGAGGGAGGTCCGTGTCTGCTCCCAACCCCTGTCTGTGTTGCAGCTGGGACTCTCAGCTGCTCGGCTTCCTGTTCAACGACCTGTTCATCCGCATCTCCACCCGCCTGCCCTCCGCGTACCTGTACGGCTTTGGGGAGACGGAGCACACGGCCTTCCGGAGAGACCTGAACTGGCACACGTGGGGCATGTTCTCCCGAGACCAGCCCCCGGGGGTAAGGACGGAGTACTGGGTTCTGTGTCTGCCCCTCTGCCAGCTCTGGGTGTGCACGCGCTGTGCTGTGCCCTGCCAGACTCCACGTGCTGGGTTCCCCCTTCTGCTTCTCCACCAGGGGTGTAGTTCCCAGGCTCTCTGGTCACCTGTGTTTAATCAGTCACAAGGAAGACTGGACTCATTTAAGAATCAAATTTTTGTTGAGTTTCTTTCTCCCTATATTTAACTTTTTTGGGGAAGTCTGAACCATCATACTTTTGTTGAGTTTCTCAGCCACAATGTCTTTAACCCCTTTCCACCTCTCTGTCCTGGTTCTTAGTACAAGATGAATTCCTATGGTGTGCACCCCTACTACATGGGCCTGGAGGAGGATGGCAGTGCCCACGGAGTGCTCCTGCTGAACAGCAATGCCATGGGTAAGGCCGTGCCCGTGGCTCCCCTCATTTATGAGTAGTGTTATTATGTATTTGACCCAGCTGTCCTAGCTCTCATTGCCAGTTTATGTGCAGTGATGTGTGTTCTTTGTTGACTTTCTTGTTATTCCTTCCAATAACATGGGACAAGATGTCACCCAGTTCTTATTTTGGCAAATGTCTCGTGAAAAGAGATAGCTGGTCTGAGTCTCAAATACTCTGCAGATCCACTAGGCAGAGCCAGCTGTTAAACTGAATTCGTTTAAGTTAAATTTAATATGTAAGTAACCAATGAAACTACCGGTCAGATTACAGGTTTCTGGATGTGAGGGTATGAGAAAAATTTATGGTACATAGGAAACAGTATTATTATGGTCGCAGGGAAAGGATATTCATTTAAAAACAGATGAAACAAATGAAGTCAGTACCTGAGTTAATAATATTGCATTGGTGTCACTTTCTGATTTTTAGACTGTACAATTGTTTTTCAGACATTATCATTTTATAAAGCTGAGAATGGGCACACAGGTACTCTGAGTACTGTTTTTGCAACTTCTTGCTTATCCTATACAATACTGAAATAATAATGATAACAAGACTTTTAATTGAGGATAATAATAAATCATATAACAAGATAATAAAATACCCCAAACGGGAAACCTCCAAGAATTGGAACCTATGGAATTTCATGGGATTGTTTTAGTTCCTTGTGGATATTGCTTAGTTCTAAACATAGGGTGGGTACATGAAGAGGGGGGTGGTGTGGATGTTAAGGATGAATCCTCAAGTCAAAAATTCCAGCGTGGTTGGCATTTTCCTGCACCACAGATGTGACGTTCCAGCCCACGCCTGCCCTGACGTACCGGACCACAGGGGGAGTTCTGGACTTCTATGTGTTCTTGGGGCCCACTCCAGAGCTTGTCACTCAGCAGTACACTGAGGTAGGAGGGAGTCAGCTGGCTGCCAAGTGTTTATACAGCACATTCTGTGTGCCAAACCCATGTTCATAGGAGCAACTCTCAGATGAGAAACTGGAATTGTTTCATATTTCTTAGAGAGATATAGATTGTAGAATGAATGGAATGAATACATTATAAACCCTTTAATTCATAGCCTCTCTGGGCACTTCAGAGGATCACAAGTAGTAAGGATAATAATTGTGGTGTTGTTGTTGACAGGGATGCTTGTGATGATGATAGAACTAATGGTTATGAGGATAGAGATGATGGTGACATGGGGTTGATGTTAATGGTGATTGGGTGATGATGGTGGAAGTGACGCTGATGTTGCTGTCATTGGTGGAGATGATGTGAATGTGGTAGTGGCACTGAGATGACGTTGTTAGTGTAGTGAATGTGAGGCAATGATAGTCGTGGTTATGGCATTGATGATGGTTGTGGTGGTGGGAGTGAGGATGGTGTTGGTTGGAGGGGGTCCGAGTGATGACATTATTGGTGGTGGTGCTAGCAATGATGGTACTAATAGTGGTTGTGGTGGGGCGGTAGGGATGATTGATGGGTGGTGGAAGTGATGCTGGAGGTGGTGCTAGTGATGGGAGTGGTAGGAGGTGATGTTATTGATGATGCAGGTAGTGGTCATGATTGCGATAGTGATAGTGGATTCTTCATATAGAACTTTAATCCAGCTCCTGCTTCTTGAGGACTAATACTTGGTGTCTACTTCCCAGGTGATTGGCCGTCCTGTGATGGTGCCTTACTGGTCCCTGGGCTTCCAGCTGTGTCGCTATGGCTATGAGAATGACACGGAGATTGCCAACCTGTATGATGACATGGTGGCGGCCCAGATCCCCTATGTAAGTTCTCAGTGCTGGGGCCTGGTTCTGGACCTCACACTCACCCAGGGGTCTCTGTATCTGGATTCCTTTCTGAGATTTTTACAAGTTGTACAATGATACAAAGTCATTTCTCATGCAGTACCACCTTGTGTCTCACCACAACACAGTAATAGCAATGGGGAGTCTTGATGCCTTCTGATAGAGGCAGAGCTCCACGACTCCTAATGATTTGCCAAAGAACGAGGGGAATGTAGGCTGTCTGCAGCACCCTTTCTGTTATAGTGTGGTTTCTTCCATTTGTTTTACACAACTTCAAAATACTTGGTCAAAAAATCCTTGATTTCATACGAATAAAAGATCCTGTAAACAGTAGTTCTGCCTAAATAAAAACAAAACTCAAGTTGGATGCCATCGTATGCATACATGCAATTGTGTGTTTTGAGTCCCAGCCTTCGACTCACACTGTAGCCCATTGCTTCATCATTGCGGAGCCATCCAATGCATGAATGGGCTTGGTTTCCTGAAGAAATTCATGGGGCAGGACTGCATCCTTCAATGGAGGACAGGAGGCCCAGTAATCAGAGAACTGGTCCCAGGGACCACTTACATATTAAATTCATTCCATTTAAATTTTCTGTTGTTTACAATTGTCCCAGTAATGGGATTTTTCCCATGCAATACCTCACTTTAGGAACAAAGCTGCATGTGATTACTTCAAAGACTGAATATTCCAAAGCCATCATAGGCTTTTGTTTGTAGTAGATTTCCCATCCACGTTGTCTGCTGTCGCTCCCCCTCTTCGTGGAGGAACGACACTAAGCCCTGCCTAGGCTTCATATCCGAGTCACGGCACCATTATGTCGCTCCCCCTCTTCGTGGAGGAGCAACACTAAGCCCTGCCTAGGCTTCATATCCGAGTCACGGCACCATTATGTCGCTCCCCCTCTTCGTGGAGGAACGACACAGGACCCTGCACTGTTCTTTCGTCTGCTCGGCCCTCCCCGGGTTTGCTGCTGGTTCTTCCCGGGTTGGCTACTATCCCTTCCACCTCCGTGGAAGGGCAGTTCCCCCTGGCCACATTCCCCACTTCCGCAGGGGAGTGGCACACCGCCGGCCGGCTCTTCTCGGGGGCTGCACGGGTTCCCTTAGATGTTCCCCATAGATGTTCCTGGTGCATGCCGTCTCTCTCCTCCTTTATAGTCCTCCTCCGCCAATCCTAACTCGGCTGCCCACACGCCGAGTACGCTGCTCTCCTCCAATCAGGAGCAAGTCCTACAGTTTATTAGTTGAACTGGAGGCAGCTGTGCGGAAGCTGTTTACTTCTCTCCCAGCGCCATATTGTGGGAGAGCAGATGCATAGAATAAGTCTTAATTCCAGTAACTCAGTCCAGTCCGGATTGCTCCCCACAGATCCCCCTTTCTTTTTATTTTTTGGCGTTGATACGCGCCTGTCTTCGGTGTCCCGCGGCACACACTCTGCTCTACTTGCTAGAGTTGCCACAGGCTCTTACAAGTCCTATCAATCAGGCAAACCGAATCCGGGTCCTCTCTTCGCCATGTTGTGAGGAGGTTTTTAGGCGCTGATGCGTGCCTGTGTTCGGTGCCCTGCAGCGCATGCTCTGCTCTGCCTGCAGGGGCTTACAAAACCTAGCAATCAGGCAAACCGAATCCAAGCCTTCTCATTGCCGTATTGTGGGGGAGACTTATTAGTGTTGGTTTGTGCCTATCTTCGGTGACCTGCAGCTCATGCTTTGGTCGAGCTGCTTGCTGGTGCTTACCGCCTTAAATCAGGCAGACCGAATCCAAGCCTCCTAATTGTTGCATCGTGGGGAAGCCTTACTGATGTTAATTCGTGCCTGTCTTCGGTGACCTGCGGCGCATAAGCTGCTAGCCGCCCAGGTGCTCATCGTGCTCATCGCCTCACTTAATCAGGCAGACCGAATCCAAGCCTTCTAATTGCCATGTTGAGGGGAGGCCTTTCTATTTCTCTATTTCTCTATCTCCGGGCATTCCTATTTCTCCCATTTTACTTCTATCTTCCAGCATTCCTATTTTTCTCATCTTACTTCTAAACTTCTGTTTCTCTTATCCCCGCAGCTTCCCGGCGCCTCGCCCTGCCGGCAGGCTCCGCCCCGAGGCTATTTCTCCGCGGCTTTCCCGCCGAGCCGCTTCAGCCCGCGTCTCTCATCTGCGCGGCTTCCCGGCTTTGCGCGGCTTGGCTTCGCGCGCTCCGCGGTCTCCACGCCCTTCGCGTCTGCACCACGGCCTATGCCAGCCCCGTTCCCTATCTATTCACGCCCCGTGCTCTCTCTGCACGCGGCGGCTTCCGCGAGTAACACAGCGTAGCTTACGTGTCCGCCACTAGCATTCAATCTAAGTTCCCCGGGCTAGCCTGGCGAATTCAACCCAGCGTACGTCTCCGCCCCACGGTTTGGCTTCCTGTCCTTTGCTCCCCGGGCTAATCAGACGGATCCCAACCAGGCTCACGTTTCAGCTTCTGGTTTCAACTTTTCGCCCCCTATTCCCGGGCTAACTTGAGAACCCCAAAGTGGCTTTCGTATCCGCCTCGGCCTGCCCCCCGCGGCTTCAATTTCCCTAACACTTTCTCTACCCGGTATGTTTCCCTAAGTTTTCTTCCAACAATATTCCTCCCTTATTTCTCCTGGCCTCTCCCCACAGTCCGCATCCGAGTCTGTTTGTTCTAGCTTTCACTTTCGCTTTTGACCTTAGAGATTTCTCCCAGCTTCCCCCCGTAGTCCGTATCCGAATCTATGCCTAGGCTTTCAATAGCTTCTTCCGGCTCCTTTTTCGTCCGGCTTTTCCCTAGGCTGTTTGCTAGTTTCTCTCTCCGATATTTTCCCTAGTTCTTCCCGTTTCTTCCCTCCTAAGTTTCATATCCGTCCTAAGTTTCCTATCCGAGTCACGTTTCTTCCCTCCTAAGTTTTCTATCCGTCCTAGGTTTCCTATCCGAGTCACGGCACCATTATGTCGCTCCCCCTCTTCGTGGAGGAACGACACTAAGCCCTGCCTAGGCTTCATATCCGAGTCACGGCACCATTATGTCGCTCCCCCTCTTCGTGGAGGAACGACACTAAGCCCTGCCTAGGCTTCATATCCGAGTCACGGCACCATTATGTCGCTCCCCCTCTTCGTGGAGGAGCAACACTAAACCCTGCCTAGGCTTCATATCCGAGTCACGGCACCATTATGTTGCTCCCCCTCTTCATGGAGGAACGACACAGGACCCTGCACTGTTCTTTCGTCTGCTCGGCCCTCCCCGGGTTTGCTGCTGGTTCTTCCCGGGTTGGCTACTATCCCTTCCACCTCCGTGGAAGGGCAGTTCCCCCTGGCCACATTCCCCACTTCCGCAGGGGAGTGGCACACCGCCGGCCGGCTCTTCTCGGGGGCTGCACGGGTTCCCTTAGATGTTCCCCATAGATGTTCCTGGTGCATGCCGTCTCTCTCCTCCTTTATAGTCCTCCTCCGCCAATCCTAACTCGGCTGCCCACACGCCGAGTACGCTGCTCTCCTCCAATCAGGAGCAAGTCCTACAGTTTATTAGTTGAACTGGAGGCAGCTGTGCGGAAGCTGTTTACTTCTCTCCCAGCGCCATATTGTGGGAGAGCAGATGCATAGAATAAGTCTTAATTCCAGTAACTCAGTCCAGTCCGGATTGCTCCCCACAGTCTGCTGTATTAGCTTTTTTTCCCTTTTTCTATTTTTTAACTGAAGATTTGTAAAAGTAGGTAAAGTTCCCAGGATCTAATTTTAACCCACGACAAAGCTGGGATGTGAAAGCATATAAAGGAAGCTGTCTGTAACTCAGGGCGCCGTGGCAGAGGGCTGCTAGTGGAGCCTGGGCTTGGACCGCAGCAGCATCGGTGGTCCTGTGTCTCTCCCCAGGACGTGCAGTACTCAGACATCGACTACATGGAGCGGCAGCTGGACTTCACCCTCAGCCCCAAGTTTGCTGGGCTCCCAGCTCTGATCCAGCGCCTGCGTGGCGATGGGATGCGGGTCATCCTCATCCTGGTTGGTACTCATGTGATGTCATGTGGGGAGGCTGGTGGGCTGTGGGGGAGAAGGCCCTGTGCTGTCCTTCCTTCCATGGAGTGAGCGGGAAATGGGAGCCCCTCTAGGAAATGCATTTCCCTGGAGTCCAGAAACTACCACCCAGGGGACCCTAAGGCCTTCTCTCTGCAGGAGTTCTCCTTTTTCATGTCCTTGTCATTGCCAGCTTTGGTTTTCGCAGCTGACTTGTGGTTTGATTTCAGGACCCAGCGATCTCTGGCAATGAGACGCAGCCTTACCCTGCCTTCACTCGGGGTGTGGAGGACGACGTCTTCATCAAATACCCAAATGGCGGCGGCATTGTCTGGGGAAAGGTATGAGCTGGGCAGTGGTCTGCTAATCTCTGTGGGGTGGATCATACGATGTGTGTTTGTGCCTTTGGCTTCTGGCCTTTTCCAAATGGGCTTTGCTGTCAGATGTTCTCATTGTTGAAGTCAATATTTCTTGAAACAGTTGAGAATTTTTAAAGTAAGGTAGACGTATCATGGAATCTACTTATTGTAGAACAGTCATACGTGATAATCAAAATATTATTTCCCTTAGGTCCATACTTAAAATCTTATGAAATACTATGAAAGGGTAATTAATGAGTTGATATTGAACTTTTTCCTCTCTACAGGTCTGGCCTGACTACCCTGATGTTGTTGTGAACAGCTCTCTGGACTGGGACAGTCAAGTGGAGGTAAAGGCCTTGTGGATGTTGAGTGAATTTAGCTTTGCTAGGAATAGGCAGTCATATTCATGGCACTGGGCATGCTTGTGCATGGACATGAGTATGCCCAGGAAAGCATTTAAGAAGCATGTCCTGGGTGTCAGTCTCTGCACCGGCCAGGTTACATGCAATATTTTGCTCCCCACTTGGGCATACTTGTTACTGTTTGTAAGATTCATGACCCTGAGAGCTTAAATTACTTTCCTGCATTTGGTTGTGACAGTGAAGTGATTTTAATGGAAAGGTTTCAAATTCTAAAGGCCCATAGAATTTCTACTGGCTGAAACCTTCAATAATCACCACTTTTTTCCCTTCTGAAGTGGTGTCTTGTTGTTGTTGTTCGGATAATCCTTTGAAGTAGTCTCTGACTCGTCAGTAGTGGTTGGGTCCTTGGCTCTGTTTCCTTTTTCAGCACTGTGTTTCTCCATCTTCACTGATAAACTCTCCCCACCCCAGTTCTCCCTCAGGTTCTCAACACTTCTTTCACCTCCCAGTTTCCAGCCTTGTGTAAAAGCTTACTCTGCTGCAACCTCGTTCATTCTTGAGACTGACCCGGTTTTCCCATTATTCTGCACCAGAACGTTTTTCCTGCTTCACTAAGCATTTGTTGCTTGAATGAAGTCATGGTTTCTTGTTGTCAAGGAAATCTTCAGCCCCGCATTTGGTGAAGTCATATGTACAACGGACTGAGCGATTTACTGTTGATGGATTTACTATTGAGTGATCTACTATGGACTGCTCTGATAATACTACGAGTCAGGTTCTCAGGGTGTGGGTACAAATGCTTCCGAAGAGTAAGAACCTGCCTCACTCTGCTTAGCTCTTCCACAATGGATATTCTTCCTGGATAGGAATTGTAGTGGGGAACATGTAGCCAATGAACCTCCACCGGGATGAAGAGGAGGCTGTTTCTAAGGGCTGAAGGGAAAAGAAGCTAGAATCTGTGTGGTCAGCAGCGTGGTTAAACATGTAGTGTCTAGAGGGGCCAGCACTGTGGCATTGTGGGTAAAGCCACTGCCTGCGATGCTGCCATCCCATATTAGATGTTGTTTCAGGTTCTAGTTGCTCTACTTCCCATCCATCTCTCTGCTGACGCTCTCAAAGAGCAGCAGGAAATGGTCCAAGTGTTTGGGCCCCTGCCACACACGTGGGAGACCTGGAAGAAGCTCCTGGTTCTTGGCTTTGGCTTTGCTGAGCCCTGGCCATTGTGGCCATCTAGAGAGTGAACCAGCGGGTGGAAGATTCTCTGTGTGTCTATTCCTCTCTCTGTGTAACTCTGCTTTTCAAATAAATAAATTAATTCTTTTAAAAAAATTAGTATATAGGATATCAGGATCAAGGATCAATCAGATAAATCTCAGTATTGATTCAGCATAATGCAGCAGATTGGAATGCAGGTATCAGCCACTTAGAAACTCGAGGAAAATGGCCTACTTGGGGAACTCTTCCCAGATGTATAGGATTGTAGGCAGTGGACAGAAGTACAGGAGAAAGTCCCCTAGTCGCCAGGAATGGGACCGGAAAGAAGCAGGCAAGATATTCATGTCTTATGCAGATGGGTTAGTTTTGAGAGCATGGAGGAAGGGGGAAGACAGATATTAAACAGCAACAGTGTAGTCTGGGGACTCAGAGCGCAGGCTGAGCGAACTCGAGCAGTGAGAGGACAGTGCTGTGAGCCCGTGACGCATTTCCCTGGTGTTCCTCTTGGATCCCTCAGATCTCAGAGCCAGTCAGTAGCACTTGTCCTCGAGATGCAAAATGAGAAAGCCACTATGGGACCAGACTGCTTGATTGTTGGACTGTGTGTTTTATGGCCGTCAACATAGTTGAAAAAAAATGGAGGTCAAAGAGGGTGGGTTTCCAAGACACTGTTTGTGGGTTGGAAAGGCAGTATGTTAGGTAGGGGGTTGATGGTGTTGACTGTTACCATTCGTACCAGTGGGAAGAGGAAAACAGTCCATGGATGTTTCCAGATGTGGAGGAAGCATGCAATTAGGGCTAGCCTCTCTTCCTTACACGCAGTGTTTTCCACATGAGCCAAGAACATTTCGTAGGCTGATAGGACTCACCATCAACCTGTGTTACAAGTCTGTCTTGCATGAGTTCTCAGTGAGCCTCTATCAGTTTGCTAATTTATTTTTTATGAATGGACTGTATTTAATTCTTACAGCAATACAGAGCTTATGCGGCCTTCCCAGACTTTTTCCGTAATTCAACTGTCAGCTGGTGGAAGAGGGAAATACAAGAAATGTACACCAACCCACAGAATCCCGAGAAGAGCTTGAAGTTCGACGGCTTATGGATTGTAAGTGTGTGTGTGTGTGCATCAGTCTGTGTGTGTCTCCGTGTGCCTAAGCATAGGTTTCATTGACCTTTAGTCAAAAGGAGAATGATCCCCCAAGAAGACAGTAGGTACTTCCTCCACTTTGGAGTGGAGTAGCCCTCAAACATCGGAAACCTTATACCTAATCTGAGGTTCCTGCTACGAAACCTCAAAGGTGGCTTCCATAAATACTTAGAACTTTACCATTCATACTCTGATGGAGAACTTTTTTATACTCTAGAATACTCTTGTTATTCTGTAGGGGATGATTGGTCTTTTTAGCCATGGGATTTGATGAGCCTCTATGGGTTGGTATCTACATGGAGTTCTGGATGTGAAATGATTTATTCCCCACCCCCTGGACTCTGAATGGAAAAGCTATAACTGTTTAGAGAAGTAAGCGGTGTCTGTGTTGACATTTCTAGGACATGAATGAACCAGCGAGCTTTGTGAATGGGGCAGTTCCTGCAGGCTGCACGGATCCCACTCTGAACCATCCCCCCTACATGCCACGTAAGGACCCTTGGCCTCCTCACCTGCAGAGCCACAGCCATAGCATCCCCAGTGGCCAGGGGCTTGCTTGTTTGTGCTGTGGTTTATTGTGGGCCTGAGACAAATGTCCTTCAAGCAGTTTTCTTATTTGAGAGCGCGTGCGTTCCAGGGCCCACGAGGGGAACTACTCAGATTTGCCCAAAGGGCACTTAGCAATGGTAATGTCACCAAAGGACCCTCACAGCTAGATCCCCCAGTTCCTTGGCATAAGTCGATTCCTTCACAGGACTGGGTTGTGTAACAACGCAGGGGTTCCCTTTCTCATGGAGTGGACTGTCTCTGGCAGTCCTGGCAGTCATGTCTTTCTTGGTTCCGAGGCCGTTCTCTGTGAGTTGGGCGACTTTCCACAGATCACATGGCGTTTCCAGCTTTTAGGTTCCTAAAACATAAAATGCTGCTGGTGATATCATCTTCACAGTATCATAGGAATTATATGAAATAGTTTACACATTGAATACCTAGAGCAGAGCATGTTAAAAACTATGCATTTTTCCGCAGGCCCCCTTCTGCTTTCTTAGGGAACTTGATGTGTAGAACACTCGTGGGTACCATCGCATCCTAGAGGCCAGCATTGATCTCACACCTTTGGTGAAGATGAGAGAGTCATGCAGAGGTTCAGTTATCTAGGACCCAGGTTCCAGTCTCTCGGAGAGAAGCACAAGGCACCCAGAATCAGAGCTGGCTTTAACATCCCTGCATCTTTCCCCAGACCTGGAGTCCAGGGGCACAGGCCTGAACAGCAAGACCTTGTGCATGGAGAGTGAACAGATCCTGCCAGACGGCTCCCGTGTGCGGCACTACGACGTGCACAACCTGTATGGGTGGTCCCAGACCAGACCCACCTACGAGTGAGTCACTGTCTCCCTTCTCCACTGGGTACAGCCTGCAGAACGGCCAGTGATGGATGAAGCTACTGTGTAGCAATTCTTATTAACTAAGCAAATACCCAGTCTCCATTTGGGACTTGAACTGGCACTCCAGTAAGGGTGTCAGTGTGACATGTGGCAGCTTAACCCCTGTGGCACAGTGCCTGCACTCACAAAATCATTTTGTACTCCATTTAAATATGAATTATCCTAAGTAAAATCTTCATAAAGGAATTCACTGTCCCTCCCTCAAAAACAGAAAACCTAGTAAAATAATGGTGAGACATTGTAAGAAATACTTTGATAGGCAATTTCACCACTGTGTAAACACTGTTAACTTTGCATAGACAAACCTGGAGAATATACAGCAGTCATTCCACGTAGACTTGTGATGTAGTCAAGAGATGCGTAAGGCTTCCACAGGTGTAACACAGCATTTTACAGTAAACATTTGTTAAGCAGAATGAATATGCTCTAAAATAATGATAAAGGCTATGGGGTGTACGACAGATACCGCACTGATGTAGATTTGATTTGTATAACCCAGTATTAAGTGCTTACATGCTTGTGTCCTTCACTGTTACTTGACTGGCAGTGCAGTAGGTTTGTTAACATGTGCATCGTCACACACATGAGAGTAACGTGTAGTGACACCACTTATGATCATTGTGCCATCATTGCGCATAGGAATTTTTCAGCTTCACTGTAGTTTTATGGGGTCAACATTGCGTGTGAGTCATCGTGGCCCGAAAGGACATATTCAGGTACATGACTGCACAGAGTAGACAAATAGCAAGACTTAGGAGGACTTACTATATGAGAGCAACCCAGTGAGTTTACTGCATGGTGACAGCCATGGTACAACACTGTGTAGAGACACACCCATGATAGCCATGTCCATGGTCTGGGATGAGTCGGTGGGGGCCTCACGCTGGCTGATTTCCGTATCCCTGCAGCCATGCAGCAGACATCAGGTGACCGTGTCCTGGGTTCAGCCCCGAGGGCAGGAGCTCTGTGCCTTTCCATCTCCTGCTCTGCCCTTAGCTCACCTCCTTTCCCTCCACCAGAGCCGTGCAGGAGGTGACGGGACAGCGAGGGATCGTCATCACCCGCTCCACGTTCCCCTCTTCTGGCCGCTGGGGTGGACACTGGCTGGGAGACAACACAGCCGCGTGGGACCAGCTGAGGAAGTCTATCATTGGTGTGCAGCCTTGTGCCAGGGCCCCTGCTGGCAGGGAGGGGGCGGTGAGGGGGGAGGAGGCAGGGCTCAGGGCCTGGTCTCACCCCGCTGTGGTTCCCTTTGCAGGCATGATGGAGTTCAGCCTCTTTGGCATTCCCTATGTAAGTGTCCCTGGATCCCTCCTGCTGACCTGGGAGCTGGAGCCAGCGTTCAGAAACCCTCAGCAGGCCCCTTTTCTTGCTTCTCGGTTCAGACAGGAGCAGACATCTGTGGGTTCTTTCAAGACGCCGAATATGAGATGTGTGCTCGCTGGATGCAGCTGGGGGCCTTTTACCCCTTCTCCAGGAACCACAACACCGAAGGGACCAAGGTAGGGCATTCCCCCTCCATTTTTGAGCTACAATTAAAGCCATCTGTCATCCCTAGGGCATATTTAAAATCCTTCAACCCTGTGTCTCCGTGAATCCAACTCCCAGTATCTTTAGATTATTCTTCTTATAGGCAGACTTGAACCAAGCAGATCCCAAGAAGAATGTCATCTAGGGAAATTTATTGTCTCTCCTGGGAAAGCTACAGGGACCTTTTGTAATGAATTAAGAACATTCTGAGGCTTATTGATAATTATCTTGATGTAGCTGTGTGTGTTCTGCACAAGGAATAAGCATTAAGTGGGTCCTTTAAGTACCTGAGACCTTCTAGGCTGAGCTCCTCACAGTCCTCTTCCTCTTTTGCAGAGACAAGACCCTGTGTCCTGGAACGCCACCTTTGTGAATCTTTCCAGAAGCGTCCTGGAGACCAGATACACCCTGCTGCCCTATCTCTACACCCTGATGTACAAGGCCCACGCGGAGGGCAGCACTGTGGTGCGGCCTCTCCTGCACGAGTGAGTGTCTAGTTGGATCTCAGCGACTAATGGGTGATTTCCTTCCTTCAATAGGGTGGCAGGGGAAGAAAATAAACCCTCTACAGGGAATACAGCATTTCTTTTTTTCATAAAATCTGATGCAGATCATATATTAATACCCCTTTCTGCACAGTGCTGTTCATGCCGTGGGTTATTGGTAAAAGTTAGTTACTGAATGAAAAAAAAAATTGAATGATACAACTCAACACAGATTGTTTCTTTCCAATTTGATCCTGCAAAGCTCCATCGTTTGTATCTGTTTGCTCACTTAAGGTCACATTGCAAAGGTGGCAGTCTCTGGGTGAGATTGAGGCATGTGGGCAATGCCTGCACTTATGAATGCCATGGGTAACTTGCGTGTGAATGCATTATAGGAGAGAACATATCTAAATCATACCAGTTCTGATGTTTGATGAACTTGTCTTAGAACATCCTGATTGAGACAGTCCTAGGGATGTAAGGATCCTCAGGTGCAGCGGGTTCCTGGCTTGGGTCTGAGTTGAGGACTTCCTTCAGGGCTGGGCTGGGCTGGCTGGGCTGTGACTGTGGCCCCTTCACGTCCTTTTCAGGTTTGTGTCAGACCGGGTGACCTGGGACATAGATGGTCAGTTCCTGCTGGGCCCGGCCTTCCTGGTCAGCCCTGTGCTGGAGCCCGTGAGTAGGGGGCCTCTGGTGGGCAGAGGGTCCCAGCTGTGAGGCTGGAGAACAGTGTGGGGAGAAGAGGCCTGGTGCCGGGTCCTGACACCTGCTTCTTGTCCTGCATTTGTCACTTTCTCTCTTGTGAGCACATTACTTAGGTACTCTGGGCTACAGGTCCTTCCTCTTAATTTTTTAAAAAATTGTAAAGATTTATTTGTTTATTGAAAGTCAGAGTTACGGAGAGAGGTAGAGACAAGAGAGAGAGGTCTTCCATCCGCTGGTTCACTCCCCAGATGGCTGCAATGGCCAGAGCTGAGCCAGTCCAAAGCCAGGAGCCAGGAGCTTCTGCCAGTTCTCCAACATGGGTGCAGGGGCCCAAGCACTTGGGCCCTCCTCTGCTGCTTTCCTAGGTGCATTAACAGGGAGCTGGATCAGAAGTGGAGCAGCTGGGACTTGAACCGGTGCCTATATGATGCCACCACCAGGTCAGGCCTTTAACCTGCTGTACCGCAGCACTGGCCCCACCTCCTTCCACAGTAATTCTGGTTCCTCAGTCACTCAGGACTAAAAGTCCTTTCTGATGTATTTGAACGTACAGTCATTTCCCCATTCACTAAAATAAGGAATATGAGCTCAGGTAGAGGAAGCAATACAAATACTTCTTTATATCCCTCTGTGACTATTAAAACAAATCTTTTCAGTAGAACCACTTGCAACAATGTTTGCAAGATTGTTGCTGGCTGCCTCTTCCCTTCCTTCTGCCAGATGCCCTCCCACGAGCAGGACTTGTTTCTTTAGTCCTCAGCTGGTAATTTGGCTTCTGGTTGAAATACTAGTTAATTTCAGCCTCCTCCAAATTTTCTACAACTACATGGGGCAAGCATTTGATACAGAAATTCGGGTGCCCTTGGAATGCCTGCATTCCATTTCAGAACGTTTAGTTTGAGTCCTGGCTCCTCTACTTCCAGTCCAACATCCTGCTAACGTTCACCTTGCAGGGCAGCAGGTGATGGATCAAATCCTTGGGTTCCTGCTACTCATGTGGGAGAGCTGAAATGACTCAGGCTTCTGTCTTTGGGTTTCCCCCAAACCTCAGATCTCCCCTTCTCTCCCTATCACTTTAAGATGTTACATGGTGTGTACAAGATTTTTTTCTGTCTCTCACCCAAACTTAGGTTTGGTCTCTTCAAAGAAGGCATGGGGAATATTTATAAGCAAATGGTAACTTTTGTCACTTACAGTCTAGGAACAGAAAGAGGGCTTTATCAAAGCCCCTTGTTTAGGGGAGATAAGTCTCCCCGATCATAAACAGAAAGGTTCCCCACAATGCCGAGCAGTACAGAGATTTCGGAAGTGAGTGCAAGGCTGTCACTATGGGTTTAGCCTCTTTCCTTTGCAAACTGATTACACTTTTGTGGGTAGCTGTGCCCACCACCCATGCCTTGTCTGTGTTCAATTCCAGAATGCCAGAGAAGTCACTGTGTATTTCCCTGGAGCCCGCTGGTATGACTACTACACGGTAAGTTTTCTAAATATGTATACAGCCTGGGAACAATGTGGAGCACAAAAAAGCTTCTGATCAGATAAATCTCAGGCCAAATGCTGTGTTGGGTCCCACCTGCTGTGTGATTTCAGCCCCATCGCGTCAAACCTTGTCCCTTCAGTTTCCCACCTCCAGAGGAGTGAACAAGTCCCTCGGGGCGGGGCTGTGAACCCACTCGTAAGGCAGCTCACTCAGCGCCTGGCTGCTCGAGGGTGCTCTTTATGAGCCTGTTTTCATCCTTCCTCCCACCATCCCTGCCCGGTGTGGTGTATAAGGCAGAGATTGGTGAACATGCAAAACTGTTCTATTACTACAGTTTTTGTTCATATCCCCTTCTGCTGTGTGTAAGTATAGAGGTCTTTTAATACTAGTCTTTTTGTATTTATTTATTTGATAGGTGGAGTTACAGACAGAGAGAGGGAGATGGCAGAGAGAAAGGTCTTCCATTTGCTGGTTCACTCCCCAAGTGGCTACAATGGCCGTAACTGGGTCGCTAAGAAGCTAGGAGTGTCTTCCAGGTCTCCCACATGGGTGCAGGGTTCAAGCACTTAGGCCATCCTCCACTGCTTTCCCAGGCCATAGCATAGGGCTGGATAGGAAGAGAAGCAGCTGGGACTAGAACCAGTGCCCATATGGGATGCCACCACCACAGGTGGAGGCTTAGGCCACCATGCCGTAGCGCTGGCTCCAATCCTAATTTTTTAATTAAACATCTTCCTGTATAGTATAGATGCTCAAAGAATGATCGTTCCATAGAATTACCTTAGGTCAGCTATTATGAGCCAGTCTGTAAAATGCTAAGTTGGGACCTGACCCATATAATTGTAACAGTGCAAGTGCATTTAGAAATGGGAGCCGAGCAAGGTTTTGCCGTCATATGAGTGCAGGGCTGTTGTGAGCCCAGTACAGAGCCTGTGCTTACAGGTCATCAAAGCAATTTTTGGGTGATCCTTGAGGGACACAGTCACGGTCGATTCTCATGAGAACTGAAGTGGCTGCTCCTCACTTTCTAACTAGGATGCCCCTCTTGATTTCTTTTTTAAAGAGTTGTTTTATTTATTTGAAAGGCAGAGCTACAGAGAGACAGGGGAGAGAGAGAGAGATCTTCCATCCACTAATTCATTCCCCCGTTGGTTGCAATGCCCTGGGCTGGGCCAGGCCAAAGCAAGGAGCCTGGAGCTTCATCCAGGGACCTGGATTGGAAGTGGAGCAGCCAGGACTTGAACTGGTGTCCATATGGGATTCTGGTGTCTCAGGCGGTGGCTTGATCTGCTTAGCCACATGCCAGCCCCCTTCCTACTTTGAGGAGGAACAGGGAAGGACTGGAAATACAGTAGGCAGACAAGAAGCCCCTCTCACCTAGGGGGGTTGCAGTAGGATTGGTTGAACACTGGACAAGACCAGGGGAAGCTTGTCTGACCTGAGCGCCCCTGACTGTGTTTCTTGTTGGTAGCCTGCTTCCGTCTTTGGTTAAGACTCTGCTGAGTGCTTCCAGCCAAGGTCTTCTGGGAGGGAGCAGCCATCATTGTTTAAGTGGCTCTGAGTTTGCACGCCAGCCTTCCCATTCACTAAAGTCAGTCCTTCAGAGTACGCTCAGGTTTCTGGTGTAGGGCCTGGACTATGCAGACAGTCCAAGGTGTGCATTGTTGTAAGGCTGGCCCTGAACTTACATGACTTTGAGAATGAGAGCCTCTCTAGGTTTTATTATTTTTGAAAAGATTTATTCATTTATTTGAAAAGCACAGTTACCGAGAGATAGAGAGATCTCTCATCTGTTGTCTCACTCCCCAAATTGCTAGACTGGCCAGGCTTGTACCAAGCAAAGGCCTGGAGCCAGGAACTCCATCCAGGACTCTCACATGGGTGGCAAATGCCAAAGCCCTCGGGCCATCATCCATTGCTCTCCCAGGCATATCAGCAGGGAGCTGGGTTGGAAGTGGAGCAGTTGGGACACAAACCAGTGCTCATGTGGGATGCCGGTGCACCAGCTGGTGGCTTAATGCACTGTGCCTCATGTGGGGTGTCGGCGCACCAGATGGTAGCTTAATGCACTGTGCCTCACGTGGGATGCCGGCGCACCAGATGGTGGCTTAATGCACTGTGCCTCACGTGGGATGCCGGCACACCAGATGGTGGCTTAATGCACTGTGCCTCACGTGGGATGCCAGCACACCAGATGGTGGCTTAGGCGCTGTGCCCTAATGCTGGTCCCTCCAGTCGCTGTGCACCCTAGGTACCTCCCTGGTCTCACTCTAGTCTCAGTCTGGCTCGGATGAATAACCTCACTGAGCTGTAGGTGATGGGAATCGGTAAGCAGTTCTCTCTGGACTTCCCCATGTGATCTGGAGCTGCTGTTGGCTTGTCAGAAACACTAATTTGAAGATACTCTAGGAAGCTTGTGGGAGAGCAGTACTAAAAGATAAGTTTATTTTGGTGTAAAAATTTTTGGAATTTATGTAAAGTTTTTCCATAATATTCATTTTCCATGAACTTTTTGAAGTCACGTGGTGTTTATGCAAATAATGATATATTCTACATAAAAGAAAGTTAAATGTGAGGGCTAATAAAGAAAATTGTCCCACAATGACCAACTTTGTATATAGAATTTGAATAGAAGAACCCTTTCATCATCCGGGATTTGATGAAGATGGATAGGTAAAGAAATCATGTAGAAATCCAGAACTTTGTAGAGCGAGCCCTTGGGAGAAAAGGAAAGTTACTGTTTACAATTTTAGTAACTTCCTCTAGGTTCTCTAGCAGGTACTGGAATACTTTGGCCAGTTAAGTCTGATGTCATCTATTTTATAAATAAGGTTTAGATCAAAGTTACATACATTTATTTACTGATATAAAATGACTACTCCTTACTTGTATTGTACCAGTTCTCAGAGTCAGGGAGTTTGCCTACCAGGAGACGTTTGGCAGTGCCTGGAGACGATTTTGCTTACCCCAGTGGTGTGGGAGTGGGGTTGCTTCCGACATCTACTGGGTAGACACTGAAGATGCAACTAAATATGAACGAAGCACTGGGCAGCCTCAGCAGAGTTATCTCACTCCTTATGCAAGTGGTACAGACAGCAAGAAGCCCGCTGCAGTTGTGAAAATGTGGCAGGGGCACCTCCTATCCACGAGGCAGACATGAAGGCAGGTATGTTAGGTTAAAGTTATGGAAAGAAGTGGTCATCAGAGAAGGAGGTACTTTTCTCTTAATGGGGGAGAGAACTTCCACTTTGCTTATGGCCCTGTCTAAATACTGTTGGAGTTTGTGGACTCAAGAGGCTTCCATAGCCCAGGCAGCTCATGTCAAGAGCCTCAGGTGATCACCGACATCATACATGAGTTTTAATTGTTAACAACAGGAGTCACTGTGCACTAACTTCCCACGCAGGACCTCTGTCTTCAAAGAGTTGGATTATAATAATGTCTAAGTGCTCTCAAAAGATGTATCATTCTTGGGTGCTTCTTTAAAGTTAATCAAGTTTCTTTAAAAAAAAAAAAGAAGTGAAATTAACTTCAAGATCCAATGAGTTTGAAAAGCCCTTGTCTTGACTGTTGAGGAACATTTTTTTTTTCATGGAAATTGTTGAAATCTTTACTTAGTATAGAGTTGGTCTTCTGTATACAAAGTTAATTGAAAATGGATCTTAGTGAAGAATGGAACTGGGAATGGGAGAGGGAGGAAGAAGGGGTGGGAGTGTGGGTTTGGTGTAAAGAATCAGTATATTCCTAAAGTTGTATTTATGAAATGCATGAAGTTTATATTCATTAAATAAAAGATTTCCTTGGGGGAAAAAAAGAAATGCATTTAACTGCAAGCAACAAGAAAAAAAATTTAAAAAATAAAGTTATGGGTTCTTGCAGTAAGTCTACTCATCTTAATATTTCCTGTGAAGTAGGAGTTGCATGTGTTACTGACATGGGTGAGTTGGACGTTGGGGAAGAGGCAGACAAAGCAGACTTTTGGTTATAGAATCCATCTAAAAGTGCCATTGTGAAGGCATTTCAGGAACCTACAAGCAGTGGGTGAAGGCGTTGTTCCACCTCCTCCAGACACAGAGACAGGCAGTGGAGTGAGGGTAGCGGGGACCCAAGCTAAGGTGTCATGTCGCGGGAGCTGTAAAACCCCAGATGGCAAGTCTTGCACAAATGGGGTAGCCATCACTGAAGACTTCACTCAGCAGCTGGGGCAGTGTGGGGAGTGTAGTGACAGGTGTGCTGAAAGGTGAGTCGCAAGCAGCGCATTCGGAGCTGTGGAGGAGACGTCTGGCCCAGTGTGTTGCATCGTTGTGCCGGCTCCCTCTCATCTCTCCTGTTCTGCCCACAGGGTGCGGATGTTAATGCAAAGGCCCAGTGGAAGGTCCTGCCCGCCCCTCTTGACCACATCAACCTTCATGTCCGGGGCGGCTACATCCTGCCCTGGCAGGAGCCTGCGCTGAACACCAACCAGAGGTGAGCGTGGACGGGGGTCCCCTCTCCATGGCAGTTAGTGCACCGCTCTGTAATGAAGCCCAGCGGTGTGGAGGCATGGATGCTTACTGGTGAGGGTTAGGACATCTCTATCTCCTGTGACACTATTGTCACCAGAGAAGGATATACGTGGTGATACTACCTTTGTGCCTAACAAAAACATTCAAAAGTGATTTAAAAAATTGTGCCCCTTATCTATGTCTCTCACATTAAATATTGTTACCCACAGTCGGCAGAACGCTCTTGGTCTTATCATCGCCCTGGATGAGAACAAAGAAGCGAAAGGTGAACTCTTCTGGGATGACGGAGACACCAAAGGTGAGCACACACACAGACGCACATATGTATACATAGAGACTTCATTTCACTGTCAACTGGCACCTGGAAGATATGTTTTCATGCACATTCTGTAATTGAGTGTGTAGATATCCTTTCCAAAAGTAACAATGAATACATATGGATGATATGAAAGTGATTCCAGTGAGGCAGTGAGAATACACTGATGTTGTGTGTACAATGTGTGCATACATTCTCGCCCTTCTTTTCTGTCTCCTGTGCACTAATGACTGGGCCTCTCACTTAGGAAATAGCTGAGACACTTCCCGTGGGAGCACGTGCAGGGGAAACTGTACCGGGCTGCAGGGGGATGCAGATCACAGAATAGCAGTGACGTGGTCTTGGGAACTCTGTCCATAATAGTAATGTTGATTTACAAACATGCATTTAATTAATTAAGTGAAAATATTAAGTTGGCAAGTCAATACTGACTACATTCAGTGTATGCAATGTCATGGTTTGATACAAATAAACGCATATAACGATGATCACAATCCACTTAACTAATACGGCCATCACGGTTACTGCACCTTAGATACCCAGAGTCTGCCTGTCTTGTAACTGAAGGTTCACTTGGACCAGCAGCTTCCCTCTTTCTTACCCCCATCCTGGAAGCCCCCATTCTTCCCTGTGCCCCTAGGGGTTCATTTCTCATGTTTCATTGTTAATATAAAGAGAACACATTTCATGCATTCCACAGCTACGGTTTCAAGAAGACCACCACATTTCCCTCCCTCCTCCTCCCCACCCTCCTTCCTCTCTCTCCTCTATTCTTTCCATCAGTTTTCACAAGGACATGATTTTAATCCACTCTATATGTATAGGCTTAATTCACCACTAACCATAATATCCAACAAGTAAAAAGTGGAAGACCACAGTATCGCAGAGTTCACTTTGTTAGATCCCAAATATAAATGAGATCATGTCATGTTTGTCTCACTGTATCTGGCTTATATTGCTTAATATAATATGCAGGTTCTTCCGTGTTGTCACAAATAGCATTTCCTTTTTATGGCTGCATAATATTCCATTTTCTGTAGTCCCATATTTCTTTAACCGTTGGTTGACTCATTGATTTACACATTGACACATCTTGGCTATTGTGAAAAAGAAATCAAAAACTTAAATATAAGGGTAAAAACTGTGAAGACTTAACAGAAAACAAAGTAAAAATTTCCTTGTCACTGCTGTTGGCAATGATGTTTTGGGTATAACTCCAAAAGCATGGAAAGCAAAAAACAAGTGGTGCTGCATCAAACAAAGGCTTCTGTTCAGTAAAGAAAAATAAGTGGAGTGAAAATTCAGTTACAGGGTGGGGTAAAATATTTCCAAGCCATAAACTTGCATCTAGAAAATGGACTAATCATAAAAATCTATAAGGAACTCATGTGAATCTGTAGCAAAAAAAAAAAAAAAACCCAAATAACCCAATTAAAAAGTAGGGAAAGTACCCAAATAAATGTTTCCAAAGAAGATAATCAGATGGCCAACAGGTGCACAAAAATCTCTAATATTATTAATCAGCAGAGAAATGCTAATCATAAATCAAAATAAGACGTCACCTAACAGGTTAGGATGAACTATTATGAAAAGTTCAAAGGACAGAAGGTGCTGATGAGGGTTTGGAGAAAAGTCAACACTTCACACTGCTGATGGGAATGTAGATCGGCACAGTCATTGTGGAAAACTAGAGGCTCCTCAAGAGGTTTAGAACAGGTGAACCGTGGAGTCCAGCAGCCCTTCCTCTGGGCTTGTGTCCCAAGCAGAACTCAGCATCTTGAAGGTGCACCTTCATGCTCACTGAGCGTTGCTCACAACAGTCAAGCTGTGGAAGACATGTGTACCACTGATGGATGGACTGTGGGACACGTACACAGTGGAGTATTATTCAGCCCCAAAGAGACATGCTGCCGTTTGCAATGTCAAGATGCAGCTTGAAGGAGAGGCAGGATGAACGCTGTGTCTGTGGAGGGCAGTCCAGTCTGACTTTTCTCTCTCTCACTTGCAGATACTGTGGCCAATAACGTTTACCTTTTGTGTGAGTTTTCCGTCACCCAAGTGAGTAACCACTTTTTATCAATCTGTTAGGTACAGGCTTTTGTCTGACTGGTAGCACATGTGTGCTTTGTACTTGTGCGCTTAACACGTGAGACTTCATATGAACTGATGACTACAGCTGAGTGCATTTGCAGTTGGATTGAGCTCTGAGCGTTGAATCATTCATGTTATCAAAAGGGGACAATGATGTGCACATAGATAAATCTGAGCAGTGGCATTTTTAAGAAGATTGAAAAGAAGTTTGTATTTTCATGATTTTTTTTTACTCAGGAAATTATTAAAATGGGTTTTGCTCCTCAGAACTAAGAGGTAACAGCGCCTCAGAGTGTCAGGTCTAGGACGAAATGAATGACATGAGTCTGTGTGTAGCATACATGCCTGTGTGCTTAATTTTCCTTGGCTGTTTTGCAGAACCTCCTGGATGTGAAGGTTTCACAAGCAGGCTACAGAGATCCCAACAATTTAGCCTTTAAAGAGATTAAAATCTTTGGGACACAGGAACCTAGCAATGTTACCGTGAAGCACAACGGTGTCCTGAGTCAGATGTCTCCTAAAGTCACTTACGATCACAACCTGAAGGTAAAAGTCCATCTTATTCTACCATTTACCAAGAGCTGTTTGCAGCAACGTGACATCCCGTCTTGCTAAAGCGGCATGAGTTCCACACGCGGAGGCCTGTGTGGGGGGTCTGGGTCTGGAAGGGAGGACAGAGATGAGGAGGTGGCCAGAGCTCGGGAGTGGGGACCAAGCACTGTGGTCTTCCCATCCCCTGGACCACCCTTACCCTTCCGTGTTCTTCTAGCTGCAGCTCCACGTTCAAAGAAATAGAAATCACGGGACAAGGAGGAGCCAGGTTAGGGAAATGGGGAATGGGAGTAGAAGTAAAGTGGATCAGAAAGCTGCTGGCTGACGATGGAAAGTTAAGGGTGGGAGGTGGGAGCCCCATGAATTAGAATTCTGAAGTGCTTTATCTTAAAAAAATTGTTTTTTTTATATGAGATATGTGACTCACTTCAATACATTCATTTTGAAGATATACTTTAAGATGTGAATCTGATAATCCTATGTAATGGTAAATATTTTTAGATGATAATAATAAAGGGATTTTTTTAATTAGTTGTCATGAGAATTGACACTCCTGCTAAACTTGTAATCTGTTAGCGTTTATGAAGAATGTGTTCCCCAAGGAATCCTCACGACAGATAAATGACCCAGTGTTGCAAGGACTGTGAAACACTTCCAGGTTTGGGGAAAATAAGTCAATTTTGTCTTCTACTATAGTGACATATGATGGAATTTCACATTTTGTCCTGACAACATATACCAAGGATGCATATAGAATGAGGTTAGAAACTCAATGGTGTATGGATGGTTCTGAGTATGGCAAAGTGTAAGCGTTTTGTAGGATGCATATGTGAAAATAAGCTCAATAGATGTTTGTCAAATTAATCTATCACGTTAAGACCTAAGGAACTTTTTGCTATTTGAATTTGGGGGAGACAACTTATACACATGAAACTTGTGAAGGCAGAGAAACCAAACTAACATACAAGAAATAATGACTTATCTCAACTGTTATTCAAAGCTTATGAGAAAAACATACCTCAGGACTAGAGCTGAGCCTTGGATGATGTTATATCAGGGATTAGTCAGTTACAAGTGACAGGAAACCCCAGCTAGCAATTTAAATAAATTGACATTTTCCTTCCTTTCTGCAGTAAGAAGTTTAGGAGGCAGAGAATTGCTGACACTGGTTCACTGGCTCAAGGTTGTCAGGGGCGAGGTGTTTTCTGTTGTGACTTGAAAGGGCTACTTAGTTCCAGTTGTAGCAGAAATGACTGGGGGTAGAAGGAGAGGGGAGGAGAGGGGAGGAGGGGAGAAGAGGGGAGGGGAGGGGAGGAGAAGGGAAGAGAGGAGAGGAGAGGGGAGGAGAGGGGAGGAGGAGGGAGGAGAGGAGAGGAGAGGGGAAGGGAGGAGAAGGGAGGAGAAGGGAGGAGAGGAGAGGAGGGGAAGGGAGAGGAGAGGAGAGGAGAGGGGAAGGGAGGAGACGGGAGGAGAGGGGAAGGGAGGAGACGGGAGGAGAAGGGAGGAGAGGAGACGGGAGGAGAAGGGAGGAGAAGGGAGGAGAGGGGAGGAGAGGAGAGGAGAGGAGACGGGAGGAGAAGGGAGGAGAGAAGAGGAGAAGGG